CGGGGGTGGGGGGGTTGTCTCCAGCAGGAGGCCCCGGGCCAACTCCAGGGTCGTGCTGGGAGCCACCTGGCTGAGGTGGGGCAGCGGCGGAGGCCTCCCCTCTGCTGTCAAGGCCAGGGACAGAAGCCCCCTGTCCAGGGACCCCTACACCACTCGGCCCCTTCAGTAACCAGAGACCAGGCACCCCCCGCCTCCACCCAGGAAGGCAGCCTGGTGCCCTTAGGAGCAGGCAGGAGGGTGATCTCCATGTGTCCCCCCTGGGGCCAGCCTGGAGCCTGGCAGAGAGGTGCTCCATGTCGAAAACAATCAGAGCTCCCCTAAGATGAACTGTATTGTTCAGAAAAAGCAGTGAGCTCCCCGTTGCCCGGAGTGTGCAAGCACAGGCTGGGGACAGGCCTGAAGGGCCGTTGCAAAGTGGGCTCGTTCAGCTGGGATAAGAGTGATCATCATGATGATAATGTCAATTAAAATGTACCCAGAGCTCGCTAAGCCCCAGCAACAGTAAAATCTTCGTTCTCTTTTGTTAGAAAATTTTTTTTTTTTTAATTTGCCGCAGTAACTCAAGCTCTCAGAACAAGTTAAACAATACAGAGATATATAAAGAAAAATCTAACATCAGCCCTCCTCCGAGGCCTCTTTCCCTCCCACAAGCCAGGTACCTGGGCTGACAGAGAAGGTGTCATCCTTCCAGGCACCCGACAGAGAGGATCCCTCGTCATCCTTCGGATGTTCTGAGGAGGCTCAGAGAGGGGAAGCCATCCATCCAAAGGTCGCTAGCTGCTCAGAGGTTGCAGACCAAGCAGGCTGAAGTTGCCTCTTCAACCCAGACGCCCCCAGCTCAGCCTGGCTCTCCTCTCTTCTCCGGGGAGCCCGACCTGTGGGAGACACAGAGCCTCCCCTGGGATGGCCTGGGGCTCCTGGGCCAGTTCATTCCAACCAGAACTGACCAGTCCTTGAGCCCCCACCTTCCAACTTGAATTTGGCAGGACTGACTTTTTTTCCTAAGTGATGAAAATATGATAACATATTTACAGGAGACTTCCCCGACAGCTCAGTTGGTAAAGAATCCGCCTATAAGATAGGAGACCCCGGTTCAATTCCTGGGTCAAGAAGATCCACTGGAGAAGGGAATGGCAACTCACTCCAGTATTCAGGCCTGGAGAATTCCATGGACTGTATAGTCCATGGGGTTGCAAAGAGTTGGAACGACTGAGAGACTTTCACTTTCACTTGGAAAATACAGAACAAAGTTACATATAGTTTCACTATATATTATAGTTAGGATTCTTAGTAGGAGTTTCAATATCAAATGCTCAGAAATTAATGGAATGAATGTACAGAGAAGTAGAAGAATATAGTAGACCTGAAAAGCATTGTGAAACAATTTAACATAAGTAAGATTTATACATTTTCATACAGCAGTAGGATACAAATTCTATTCACGTTCCCACAGACTGTAAACCAGGAGACACTAGAACGTATCTGGAAACATAAGACCAGGGGCAGAAATTTCATGGCCTAAAGGTATTGAAATCATAATGAGGCTCTTCTCTTGTTACTGTGCAATTCCGTTAGAGATCAAAATCAAAAGATATTTCAAAATAACCCACATATTTTCAAGAGCAGTGTGTTATTTACCAAGAGAGATCTCCGGCTTAGACCCCGAGAAAGCCTCAATAAAGTTAGACTGAATAAAACACAGAGGTTGATTGTAGAGAAGGAAGCATTCAAATGAGAAATTAATATCAAAGATACTTTAAAAACTCCCATGCATTTGGAAATGAAATGTCTGCTTTTAGATGAGGGCTAAGAAGCTGTAACAAGGAAGGCATTCTGATCTCCTTCTGTCAGACTCTCCCAGCTCCAACAAAGTCGTCCTAGACTCAAAGGGCCTGCAAGCGCCCAGGAAGACCACTGAGTCCTATCCCTCAGCTCACAGCTGGGGACACGGAGGCTCAGGAAGGGCAGGGGGCTTGCAACATCACACGAAGACTCAATTCCTTGTGCTTAATCTGATCATTTACGAAGTTCCATTGTCCATTTGAACCACTGCACTCATTCATACCCTAACTATTGCACTCATTCATTCATTCATTCATTCCCAAACACCCACGGAGCCTGCATGCATTTCCCATTGCTGCTTTACCAAATGAGCACAAGCCTAGGAGCTTGTAACAACAAACTGATGACTGCACAGCTCTGGCGTCCCGAAGAATGAAATGCCTGGCGGGGCTGGTTCCCGCTGGAGCCTCTGGGGAGAATCTTGTCTCTTTGTCTCCACCTGCTTCTGGAGGCTCCTGCATCTCTGAGCTCGTGGCCCTCCTGCCATCGCCCTACCCTCTGCCTCCATGATCATCTCTCTTCCACTTAGAAGGGCCCTTGAGACGATGTGACCACGTGTAGGGATTGCTCAGATAGTATAGGATAATCTCTCATCTCCCTAATTTAATTAAGTCCCTAACTTAATCTCATCAGCAAAATCCCCTTTTTGGTCACAGCCACAGGTTCTGGAGAAGAGGGTGTGGATGCTTTTGAGTGTTATTTTGCCTACTTGCACAGTAATTATCAAAGGAGGCAGGATAGGGCTGTGCACAGCAAATCAGCTAGGATGCGTCCAGTGGCCCATTATGGAAGCCTCCTCCCAAAGGGCCTTACACAGTGAGGCTGCTTAGCGTCTCCCTTGGCAGGAAGTCTGACCAAAGGCTGTCTCCAGGGTGGGTTCATTTGGAGGCTCAAGAACAACAGCATTAGGGACACGGACTCTTTTCCCCCGTGGTTGGTGGCATCATCTCCTCATGCCCCAAGAGAGCTGCTGCAGCTCCAGGTATCACATCATCACACATCCATGACTACACAGAAAGGAAGGCAGTGAGTTTTCTAGTGCACTTCCTGCCTGTCATCAGGGAGGTCTCATGGGCTGAGCCCGGGTCGTGTGACCTCTCTCCGGCCACTGGAGAAGGGTGTCCCCCTTTCCAGGGCACATCACTGCTCCCCCATCAAAACGAATCAGGTATACAGGTGCGCTCATGATCTCCACTGCATAACAAAGCACCATGACTTTATCAGCTAAAAGCAACACACATTTACTATCTCAGTTTCCATGGGCCAAGAGTCCAGGTACAGGCCAGCTGACTCCTTGCTCATGGTCTGGAGGCTGAAATTACAGTGTCAGCTGAGACCAGGTTCTCACCCGAGGCCAGGGACCGCCCCTCTTCTTCCAGGCTCACCCAGCTGTCGAGAGTTCAGTTTCCAGAGGCTGAATGGCCAAGGTGAGCTTTCTTGTGGTTTTCCAGGGACCATTCAGCCCGTAAAGGCCACACTCAGGTCCTCACCCAGGGACTGCCTCTCTTCTGCATGGCCAGCAGGGGAGCCCCTCTGATGCTTCTAAAGGCTTCACCTGATCAGGTCAGGCCCAGACAGGATAATCTCCTTTAAGAGGATGAGATGGCTGGATGGCATCACTGATTCAACGGACACGAACTTGGGCAAACTCTGGGAGGTGGTGAGGGACGGAGCGGCCTGGCATGCTGCAGTCCGTGGCATCGGGAAGAGTCAGGCACGACTTGGGAGCCTGAAAAACAAGAAACCAAAAGCCAGCTGGTTAGGAGCCTGGATGAGGCGGCGACGTCCCACCCCATTCACGCAGGAAGGGGTGTGCCCCCGGGCCTGGGTCACTGCGGCCACCGGAGCATCCTGCCGCCTCACCCTCCAGTCTGAGCGGGGCCCTTCCTCCTGCCAGAAAGTCCTCCCTGAGCCCCCGGCAGGTGCCTAGAGGTCGGGGGCCCGTGCCCCGAGCCCTCAGCTGGGCCTGGGGGGTGCTGTGGTCTCTCCGTGGGCACTGTCCACACTTGGCAAAGAGCAGGCGCCCAGGAGACGCCCTCTGGACAAATGCAGAGCCCCCACAGTGATGGGAAAAACTGGAAGCTCAGAAAAAGTGATGGGGGCTGGGCCTAGGATTCTGGCCTCGGGAGAGCAGACTGGGGCGGGGGCGGGGGGGCTGGCTTGGGGATAGGATCATGCCAGGCCCTCAATGCTCCCCCCTTCAGAAAGCCCTTCCAAGGCCCCCCACTAACTGAGGCCAATGGCCAGGGAGGCACCGGTGAGCAGACGGCAGGCAGCGTGGAGACAGCAGGATAGGGGACCTGAGCTCGCACCCATGCGTGATCCGGAGCAACCTGGCCTCCACCCTCATCTGCAGGATGGTATGCCACCCAGCACGCACCGTGAGGGGGACGCGAGGAGGGTGAGGGGGACCCATCACCCAGGGACTGATCAGGACAGGACCTGGCGAAGGGTGGCGGCTCGTGAGTGCTGACGGGCAGGCGCCGAGGAACAGGAGGGGTCGGAGGGGCAGCTGCAGGTGACGCTTCCCCAGGGCATGACCCCCAGAGCTGCCAAGGGGCCCTGCGGCTGCCATGGGCCAGGGACCCTGTGGAGGATTCCGAGTAGGAGCCCCCGCTCCCTGGTGCTGAGGGGGCGTGGTGCTGTGCCTCCCACCTGCTCAGGTGGGTGACAGGCGGGGGCGGGTGCTCCAGGCCCAGGGAACGGCAGCAGAGACGGGTACCGCCGGGGCACCCAGGGCTGAGAGCTCTGCGTGCATCTTTCTGGAGAACCTGCTCGCCTGCCGTGGAGGGTGGGGGGCTCCGTCGTCCCCATTCACGGGCTCGGAGAGGGATGCTCACGAGGCGATGCCTGGTCAGCTCAAGCCCAGAGTCCAGGTCAAGGCCAGGCCACGGAGGGCCCTGATCACCAGGCTCAGGAGTCTGGGCAGCAGCAAGGCCCGGGACGGAGGACCGGTCAGCCCGGAGCGGCGGGCAGAGGGGAGCCCTGAGCGGGCCCCCGTGTGATGGGTGGATGTGAGCGTGAGCCCCAGCGGGCCCCCGGGCTGAGCGAGGTGCAGAGCAGATGCTCCACAAGCATGCTGACTCGCAGCCTGAATCCATTACGCTCCCTGCAAGTCCAAGACGGTCCCCAAAGCCGTTCTTCCCCCAGAGGGCCCCATGCCAGCCCTGGAGGAGCTCAGCGGTGCCAAGTCCATCACTGTGATCGATATCGCAGTGGAGTTAGTGCACGCAGATCCCAGCCGTGTTCTGACAAGACAAAGCGGTTCTGGAATTCTTCGAGGAGGGGCGGGGAGAGGAAGCAAGCTGCCTTTTTTCCCCTGCCTCAGCCTTAAAAATGAAATTACAAGTAAAGTTGGGGACACAATATCATCAGACCAGTTGGGGACAAATCAAGTCTTGAGGTCCGAGACTGGAATGCCGGGCTGGCTCACCCCTGGCCCTGTACCAGCCAGCGGAGTGCAAAGGCCCTTCCCCCTCCCTGCAGGCACCAGCTGAGGGCAAAGACCGCAGACACAGCAAAACTCCCAGCGGCTGGAGGCCCAGCTGGGGAGGAGCCGGCGCGGACCTTACAACCATCCAGTCAATAGCCCCACTTTACAGATGGGAAAACGGAGGCCAGGGGAGGCAGGAGGTTCTCAGGCTGCCAGACAGAAGGTAAGGGGATAAGCAGGAGCATAAATCCAGGACCTCCACAGAACGGAGCCAGGAAGGGCCCGCCGGGCGGGGAGGCCGGGTCTGGCTCCGGGTGAACTGCCGCTGTGCTCCGCCGACCGCCACCCGCACGGGCGACCCCACTGCATCCAGTGTGGCCAGGGAGGATGGAGGTCACCAGGCCCTTGGGACCACCCATTCTTCCTGCATGCTTCCACCGCGAGCTGAGTCAGGCCTCCCCCAGACAGAGGGACAGAGATGTGGCCCATCCGCAAGAGCCCACGGCAGAGATGAGGTCTGATGATGGTTTGCCCCGAGGGGCACACAGGAGCCCAGTGAAGCGGCTCCCGCCAGCCGGGGAAAGCAGGCAGGCCTCCCGGGGAGGAATCTCAAGCTTCATGTTTTGGAGGAAGAGGAGAGCGCGCAGGATAGAGGGGGCAGAGCTGCCAGCCTGGAGAAGGGCCTGTGACGGAGCCCCAAGTCCACGGCAGGCAGGGACAAAAGGGCTCCCGCAGAGGCCGAGGAGGCGAGGTGGAAGCCAGCCTGACGCCTGGAAGAGCTGCCCGCGCTGGGGCACCAGAGATACAGCCTGCCTGCATCTGGGAGGGTGAGCGAGGCCACAGGCACGTGTGCATGTGTGGGTGTGCACACGTGTGCCAGCGCGTGGGTGGGCGTGTGCAGGAACGCACATGTGGAATGTGTGTGCGCACATGTGGAAAGGCACGCCTGTGTGCTGGATGCTTGTATGTACACAAATGAAGTGTGCACACAAACTCCTGCATGTGAGTACACAGTATGTGTGACTGGACGTGTGTGGATATGTGTGTGCACACATACATGTATGAGCATAGCGTGTGTGACCTATGCATGCGCATGTGGGTAGGTGTGCACACATGGTGCTTGCAGGTACATGAATATACATGTGTGTGCGTTGACACATGGATGCTTCTGTGAATGCATGGTCATGTACGTGGCTGTGTGTCTAAATATTCCTGGATGCGTGTGAGTGTGTGTGAAGATACAAGCCTAGGTGTGCATGGATATGTGTGCACACGGATATGTATGTGTGCATTTGTGCACACACGGCTATGTGTGCATGTGTGCACATGCATACCTGCGCATTCAGGGAGGCAGCTCAAGGAGATGCATCCCCCTCCCCTTCGCCTGAGCTGAGGCCACTCGAGCACAGACCTTACACAGATACCGCACCCAGATCCCTCCTCCCAGGAGCGGGCCCGGGACCCAGCATGCATGGGTCACAGGGGATGAAGGTGAGGACACCCTTATAGCCCCAGCATGATCCACCTCCACATTCTCCTCCTGAGACGCCCCCAACGCCCCCTTCCCCACCAGCTCAGCCTGACTCCCCAGAGCACCCTCCTGTCACCCACCCTGTCCTGCCAAGCCCGGGCCTGGTGGGCATGACCCCCAGGACAGGAAGTCTCCCAGGGCACAGGAGGTTTCATCTGCTCAAGGGCAGCGGGGAGCCGTCTGTTGAGCCTCACGCTCTGTCTCGGGGTAAGAGGCCTCTCTAGCTCCACAGTGCACAGCTGAGACGCCGGGGCCTCCCTCCAGTGCACGCAGCAGGCCTGCCCGCAGTGCCATCCAGGCCAGGGCTCTCTACCGCAAAGACTCCGCAGGGACCAGGCCCCCTGCCGCCCCTTGCCTCTGGGCCTTGGACCCTCAGGAGCGGCCCTTCCTCCTGCCTCCTCCCAGTTCGGCCAGCCAGGCACTGTCTGCTGTCTGAGGTCAGAAGGCCGGCCCAGTGTCCCCCAGGGGCCTGGGTCACTCAGCTGGCCAGACTCTCCAGAAGTTCCCAGCCTGGCCGGGCTGGAGAGCCGCTGCCTGGGCGGTGGGATGTGCTGTCTGCTCTGGGGCCCCTAGAGCTCCGCCTTGCTTTTCCTTCAAATCCCTCATGCTAGGCTGGCCTTGCCTGTGGACACGTAGGGTGTCGCATGGAGCAGGACCCTTGGACTCAGCCCCCAAAGTGCTTCTCGAAAGATAAGACTCCCTCAAGGCCAGGAAGAGGCCCACACGGCGGTCCAGCTGATGGCAGGGCAGACCTCTCCAGAACCTGTATGTGACAACCACCGTGTCCCTTCCGAGGACATGCCCACCAGGACAAAGCCTAACCCCACCCCAAGGAGCACAATGAACAGGGCCCTCACTTCCTAATAACTCCCCTCACTCTCCAAACGCAGCTCAAGAGGTCACCTCCTCCAGGAAGCCCTCCCTGATAACCCCACTCCCAGGTTGGAGGAGGACCCCCCAGGGCACTGATGGCGTTCCCTGCACCCATCTCAGTGCGTGGCACCATCGACCCCAGACAGCCAGCATTCAAGACGGGAGGTCTGATCCAGACAGAGCCAGGGCAAGCCAAAGATGGAGGCGCAGGGGTCTCCCTGCAGAGTGCGCCCCTCAGCACCCTGACTGGTGGCATCTTTCATGCTCCAGGACCAGAGGACCTTTCACAAAGATGGGGTCTCTACCTTCCCTGGGTCACATGCGATCATGGCTTTGCTCCCCAAACTGCATAAATGCCAAGGACTGGCCCAGGAGAGTTAACCTTCCTCTGCAGGTCTACCATCAGGACGATCTGATTTCCAGCCTGGCCCTGGCCTGACCCTGCCCCGCCCCATTAGTGGAACCATGTTAACAAGGACGTCGGTGCTCCACGTGAGCCTCTCTGCTGAGACAGCCTGCTCTCCGGGGAAGGCCTTTGAGCTTTTCCGGAGCTCAGAGCAGAGAGAAGCAGCCCTGCACCAGGGCACAGTTCTAGGCATCATGGTGGGGTGTGTGTGTGCGGCTCCAACCCCTCCCTGAGCTACCCTCCTAGTACCCGGGGGCATCCCCCTCCCCCCTCCCAGACACAACCCCCGTCCCCTCCGCCCCCGGGAATTCGAAGAGAGCTGCAGGCCAGCCCGGGTCTTTCTGCTCTGCTGGGAGCAACGGTCTTACCGTTAGTCCTAGTGAAAAATGCCTGGCCGGGACCACGGTCCTCCTCCCCAGGCTCCGTATGCCACAGACCTCAGGCTGCCTGGAGGTGGGGGCCAGCACGCAGCAGCGTACAACTAACTGCAGAACAGATGCACACGGGTGTGGGGCAGGGGTCGGTGGGGGTTACCCCAACACCTCTCCCCTAAGCAGGAATGTGGCTCCCACGCCAAACAGCCCCTCATCTGGCAATTCAGTTTGGGGCGTTTGTCAGAGGCGGAGATACAGAACATCCCCCAGCCTTTAAAAAGCAGGGCTTATGGAGCATAAGAATTCAACTTCAGGAATTGCCAACAAGGGTGCAGAGCCTGGGAGCCTGCCCAGGGCTTCCACAGGCACCGCCGTCATGATTCACGCTCCAGCAGAGGCCGGGAGTGGGGAGGCGGCTGGGCCCCCGAGCATCCCCCAGAGACGGGAATCGGCCCTCGCAGCGAGGGCGCACCCTAGCCGCGTCGCGTACTCCGCCGGGCTGCGAGTGGCTGGCTCTCCGGTCAGGCCGCGGACCCCCCCGAGCCGGCCCCGCTGCGGGCGAGCGCGCGCGTGTGCCCGGACAGGTGAGGAGGTGGCCGTCTTAGAAAGAGCAGGGTTCTAGAACTCACCGCCCAGGCCAGCCGGCACTCGGCCCCGGCGCGCAGGCTGCGGACAGCCCTGGAGGAGGCGCCCTTGCCGGGCGCGCGCGCCCCGCGCCACCGCCCCGGGCTCCTCCCCGGCGCCGCGCGGGCAGGTTCGCCGAGGCGGCCGCGGGCTCGGGCTGCCGGGCCCGCTCCCCCCCGGCCGGCAGCGCTGGCCTGCCCGCCAGGCCGCCCCCGCCCGCCCGCGCCCCGCCCCGCCCCGCTGCGCAACTCTACCCAAGTTGGAAGCCGAGCCGGAGCGGTGACACTCGCGCCGAGCGCACGGCGGCGGAGGAGGCGGCGGCGGCGCAGCTCCCGCGAGCCGAGGCAGGCGAGGCGGCGCCCGCACGGCGGAGCGCGAACCGCGGGGGGTGCCCGCGCCGGGAGCGGCAGGAGGAGGAGCCGGGGAGGACGCTCGGCGGCGCCGGCGCCCTGCCCGGGAAAGTAAAGTTGGAGCCGGAGGCAGCGCGCGGGCGCGGGGGCCCCGAGCAGCGGGGGCCCGTGCCCCGGCGCGCCGAGCCCTAGCCGGCCGGATGGGAGGCGGAGCGCCCGGGCCGCCGCCGCCGCCGCCTGCAGCCTGCGCCCCGGCCGGGTGCCGGGGCCGCAGGGCCGCCCGGGCACGCCCGCTCGGGCGCCGAGTCGCCGCGGGCTCGCGGCCCGGGCGCTCCCCGTGAACCGGGCCGAGGGCGGGGCCGCGCGAGGACCCCGGGACCTGCCCCCTCCCCCTCGCCGCCGCGTCGCTGCTCGCTCCGGGCGCCTCCTGCTCTGCACTTACGCGTGCGGCGGCGGCGGCGGCGGCGGCGGCGGCTGGGAGCCGGGCAGCCACGCTCTCCGGCGCGCCGCTCGCTAGCCGGGCCGCCACGGCCGAGGGCCGGCTGCGGGGCGCCGCGGTCCCCGGCGGGCGCGCCCTAGGCGCAGGCGGCGATGCGGGCTCCGACCCGGGCTGGGGGGCGCCCGAGCTGCCGCGACTGCGCCCCGGCTCCAGGCGGGACCGCGTAGCTTGCGGGAGGACCATGGCGTCCCCGGCGCTGGCGGCGGCGCTGGCGGCGGCGGCGGCGGCAGCGGCGGGCCCCAACGCGAGCGGCGCCGGCGACGGGGGCAACGGCAGGGTCGCCAACGGCTCGGGGGCCCCCTGGGGACCGCCCCCGGGCCAGTACTCGGCGGGCGCCGTGGCGGGGCTGGCGGCCGTGGTGGGCTTCCTCATCGTCTTCACCGTAGTGGGCAACGTGCTGGTGGTGATCGCCGTGCTGACCAGCCGCGCGCTGCGCGCGCCGCAGAACCTGTTCCTGGTGTCGCTGGCTTCTGCTGACATTCTGGTGGCCACGCTGGTCATGCCCTTCTCGCTAGCCAACGAGCTCATGGCCTACTGGTACTTCGGGCAGGTGTGGTGCGGCGTGTACCTGGCGCTAGACGTCCTCTTCTGCACCTCGTCCATCGTGCACCTGTGCGCCATCAGCCTGGACCGCTACTGGTCCGTGACCCAGGCCGTCGAGTACAACCTGAAGCGCACGCCGCGCCGCGTCAAGGCCACCATCGTGGCCGTGTGGCTCATCTCGGCCGTCATCTCCTTCCCGCCGCTCGTCTCGCTCTACCGCCAGCCCGACGGCGCCGCCTACCCGCAGTGTGGTCTCAACGACGAGACCTGGTACATCCTGTCTTCCTGCATCGGCTCCTTCTTCGCTCCCTGCCTCATCATGGGCCTGGTCTATGCGCGCATCTACCGGGTGGCCAAGCTGCGTACGCGCACGCTCAGCGAAAAGCGCGAGCCCGCGGGCCCCGACGGCGCGTCCCCGACCACGGAGAACGGGCTGGGCGCCGGCGAGAACGGGCACTGCGTGCCCGCGCGCCGCCCGCGCGCCGAAGTGGAGCCGGAGGACAGCAGCGCGGCGGCCGAGAGACGGCGGCGCCGGGGCGCGCTGCGTCGGGGCGGGCGGCGGCGCGGGGCCGGCGAGGGGGCCGCCGACGCCGAGGGCGCGGGCGCCGGGGTGGTGACGGCCGAGCCGGGCGCGCTGGCCGCCGCGAGGTCCCCAGGCCCCGGCGGACGCCTGTCCCGCGCCAGCTCGCGCTCCGTCGAGTTCTTCCTGTCGCGCCGGCGCCGGGCGCGCAGCAGCGTGTGCCGCCGCAAGGTGGCCCAGGCGCGGGAGAAGCGCTTCACCTTCGTGCTGGCGGTGGTCATGGGCGTGTTCGTGATTTGCTGGTTCCCCTTCTTCTTCACCTACAGCCTGTACGGCATCTGCCGCGAAGCCTGCCAGGTGCCCGGCCCGCTCTTCAAGTTCTTCTTCTGGATTGGCTACTGCAACAGCTCGCTCAACCCGGTCATCTACACCGTCTTCAACCAGGACTTCCGGCGCTCTTTCAAGCACATCCTCTTCAGACGGAGGAGAAGGGGCTTCAGGCAGTGACCCGCGCGCCCTTCCCGGGCGTGGACGCCCTGGACAGCTCCTGTCTGAGGAGGGCAAAGCCGGCCTCCCAGGGACCCAAGGATGGATTGCCTTCGGGGTGCAGGGGCGGGTACACAGGGCCCAGAGACTGCAAGGCCCCCGGGGAGGGGGGAAGGAGAGAGGGGAGACCCCCCCTGCCTTCCTGTCTCAGCCAGGGGCTGCTTCTGGGGCTCTAGGACTGAATCCAGCTCCCCGGAGGGGCCCCCGCCCAAGTGTGGTCGTGGGGCCGGGTGGTAGACCCCACTGGCACTAGGTTTATCCTCCCAAATTGACGAGAAAGGAGCCTTCTCCGCCCCCAACACATGCCACCCTACCCCCATCTCCACCTCTGAGCAAGGGCTGACCTCCCAGGACCTCGTGGGTGGCTTTCCAGGGGTGGGGGTGGGGGAGGAACCAAGGCACTGGCAATCTTTGGTTACCCAAAGTATTTAAATGTTTGCCAAAAAAATGACTGACAGCCAAAACAACCAAACTCTTTTTCTAAATAAACCTTTGTAATCTAAGTGGTGGGTGCCATGTCAGTCCTTCAGCCCTGGGTGTGGAGGCCCTTCCAGACCCTCACCCTACCCGACACCCCCCACCTCCCACCTTTTCTTGCATCAGGTGGGGTTGGGGGTATTTGTTTAAAGGTAACTGTCTTACAGATGTCCAGAGCATGTGCTCAAAATGCTTGTGTTGTTACTGGCCCAGAGACCAAGGAAATCAATAGACCCCCAGATTAACTGCAAATACAGGTGCTGGAGGGCGGTCTTCCATCCATACCCACCCCTCTCTGAATCTAGGCTTCCCCCAGGGCAGCCAGCCTCACCCCCATGCCCAGCCCTCAAAAGCCTCCAGGAAGTCTGGGCTCATCCCGCGCTAAGGCTTGGGGAGGGGCGGCTAGAAGAGAGGAAAGGATCAGAGAGGGCCTCCCCCTGGCGCCTCCAGCCCCCCACACAGAGCCCAGGAGCTCCTGGGATAGCTGTGGGAGAGAGACACGAAGCGCACCTCTGAGACACACAGACGCCCGTGTGTGCGCACACGCACGCACGCACGCACGCATGCTCAGTGAGCAAGCGGGGCTCAGTGCCAGGGGTCCCTGCTCTGACCACCCAACCCTCCCGCCCCACTCTGCCTCTCCCGGCCTTCCTGTATGTCCCCTCCCCTGCCCAGCCCTTGTCTGCCAGCCCCGCTCTGCTTAATCACCACCCACCTGCCTTTGGCCTGGGATGGCTGTCTCCAGAAGGGGTCAGCCCTGGGTCCTGCTTTTTCAAGCCCCCTTCCCCTGAATCTGCAGCCAGAACAGGCCCCTTTCCTGGTCTGACATGCCAGGGCGGACCCTGTGGGGGAACTCTGCAGCTATCTGGATTCATCACCCCAACTTACGGGCCCTCAGGATACCCCGCTAGGAAGAGCTCTCACGGACTGCGGTCACGGTGGGCAGAGGGGTGCAGGAAACGGCTGGTCAAGGCTGGTGGCAACCTCCCTAACCTCCGCATCACCCAGGCCTGGACGGAGTGTTCATGTTGTAGGCCCAGCTCTCACCAGGACTGCTGAGTGAGCCCCCGGTAAAGCCCTGCCCTCTCTGAGTCTCATCACCGCTCTGCCCCTGTCAAGTGGGTCAGGGCTGGAAGTTCAGGCCTGTTGTCTGGGGGCCAACTTACCGGCTGAATGGGGGGCAGGTGGCTCAAGAGCAGGGACCTTCCCTTGGAGCGAGCCTGACCGACAGAGGTATTGCCTCCCCAGTGCAATGGGGTGATACCACACGCTCCCCCTGCTCCTGGGGGGTGAACCCCAAGACTCTGGCAGCAGTATGTAGCTGGACACAACCCATGGAAGAGTGTCGGCAAACCCTTCCCTTTCCCTGTCCCTAATCCTTAGCATTGCACCTTCCAGGGCTGTGGCTGGGAACGCAGGCGCCCGGTGCTTAATGCCCCATTCAGCCAACAGATGTTCACCACTTGATCATAATTGCTGCCTGGAGAGGCTTTCTTTTAAGCTGGATAAACAGAGACAGAACCTGGCTTCTCACCCTGCCTGCCGCAGGGAGATGGGCCAGTAGCCCTGCTCCAGGTCTCAGGCTCCGTCAGTGAAGCGGGGGTGCTGACACCCCCCGAGGGTGCCTGAGGGTGCCCGCGTGGTCCAGGCGCCAGCCCGCAGGGAGACAGGTTTCTCTGTGATGCAGAGGCGGGTCCCGCCCTCGTCTAGCGGGCCCATGCACTGCGCATGGTCACGGGCGCAAAGATGCCCTGAGGTGCTTGCCTCTCTCCGGGCACCTTGGTGTCTGCTCCATGGCACCGTCGCTGTCCACCCCTGTCTGGGGCTGAGGAAAAGCAGGCCCAGAGCTGACTGTCTGGGCCAAGACCCCCAGGATGGGGAGGGCAGAGCCCGCCACGAGCCTGGAAACGCACAGGTCAGGAGATCTCTGCCTCGAGCGCCCCAGCTCCGGTCCCGTGAGCAGGGGCGACCCCTGGGCTTTGCTGCTGGAGAAGTATGGCCCTCCGCCACCTTCCTGCCCCCCGCTTCCTTCCCCTTGGCTCTCCCGAGGTTTCAGGCAAAATAAAAAAAAACACCCACAAGCAGGTGAAAGGAGAACAGGGTACTGGATGGGGGGGTTGGCTTCAGTGCTGTCCGGGACAGAGCCCACCACTGATGTAATTAGTTCTCAGAGACAAGCATAGACGTACATTCGTTTAAACAATTCATTCCTGTATTTTAATTCAACTGCTGAGTTTGTAGATGGCGGTGGGGGGGAGGGGCGGGGGGGCGGGGAGAAGAATAATCCAAATATTCCCTTACAGCTCAGTATGGAATTAAAAAAAAAAAAGTCGCTTGGAGCAGGCAGGATTGTTCACACTTCAGAAGAGCAGCTCCAGTCTTTGAGTCCTGCCCCCAGCTCCGGGGGTGGGGGCTGAGGGCTGGGAGAAGACTCGTTGCCGGGGCGCCCGCTGGCGAGGAAGTGGTCCTTCCCTGGTGTGCTGGCAGCCGGCTGTATTTTTATATCACATCCGTCGGCAGGGCTCAAATATTCCAGTGCAGCCTGGGATCAAAACACCCGGCGCCTGCAGGCCCATCTTGAGTCTGCTTGGCCAGCTGCGGTGCTTCGCGGAGCGGAACCCGGGCCTCTGGTCCCGCCAAGCCCCCGCAGCCCCCCACCACGTGCAGCGAGGAGGGGCAGGAGGCATTCTGGCTGAAGATGCCTTGCGCTTGCGGCGCTGGAAGGGCGTGAGTTCTGTGTTAGTAGAAGCCCGGCTCATCGGAGCCGAGGAACAGATGAGAACTATAGGGGAGACCCAAGTGAGAGTGTCCCACCGTGAGGACCCCCAAGTTCCCTTGAGCACTGCCAGGGGACCCCAGCATGCCCTCCCCCCGTTCACCACATGACAGAAGGCCAGGCTCCCATTCGACCTGCTGGGCTCTTGAGATGGTCAAAGGGGCAAGGAGGGCTCCCCCGGGGACTCAGACGGCAAAGAGTCTGCCTGCAGTGCGGGGGACCCGGGTTTGATCCCTGGGTCAGGAAGATCCCCTGGAGAAGGGCGTGGCAACCCACTCCAGTATTCTGGCCTGGAGGCTCTCATGGGCAGAGGAGCCTGGCCGGCTGCAGTCCATGGGGTCACAGAGTCAGACACGACTGAGCGACTGAACACCCAAGGGACAAGGAGGCTGAGGGTAGAAGCATCTAGTTTGCCTGAGAGGGACCCCGGCAGGCACCCTAAGTCCGCTCTCTGTGTGACCCCACCCCATCTCGCACCATCTGTAAACAGCGGGCACATCCTCTCCTGCCTCGGTGCGGTGGGGGGGCATGCATGTGAGAGGACCGCTGACCTCCAGGTGGTTCACAGCTCCTCTGAAATCTGCCCAGGGAGCAGAGTCATGGGCCAACCATGGGCCAAGGGAAAGCCCTGGTCCCCAAGGCTTTTCTTCCCGCCAGAAGGATTTACGGCCACTCCCAGGAAAAGCTCGGGCACAATGGGACCATCCTGTCGAGCTAAGGGACGGCCATGCTGGGCAGAGAGGGAGCGCTGGCCCGGAACGCCCCGCTTGAGGGCATCCGCTCTCCTGGCTGAGCACACAGTGCGCCCGAGCTGCCTGGCAGCGAAGGAGGGAAGGGAGACAGGACGCACACCTGCCGTCTGATGCTGAGAGCGCTGGGCCGGCCGCCAGAAGCCCGCCCGTCGTCCCGCCCGTGCTGGGCGCCATCCCGCAGGCCTCCGCTGTCTGTCTCCAGGGCTGGGGGCTTCGGGGGGCCACACAGGGAACCCTGGAGGGGCATTCTCGCCATAGTGCCTGTCGGGGATGGGTGGGAGGGAATGCCAACTCCCACCCTCCCTGGTGCATCAGACAAGGCCATCTCCAGGTCATCCCAGCAGACCCTGAGCCTGCGCCTCCCTGGGCCCGGCCCTGGCTCTCGGGTCCCCTGGCTCAGAGCGGCGAGAGCTGAAAAGCAGGGCGGTCACGGGGTGGGGTGGGGCGGGCGGGGGCTGCCTGGGTCCGAGACCACCGCCGCCGCCTGGCCCTGGGGCCGGAGTGAGCTGTAGGGGCGGCAGAGCCAACGTGGTCCAAGCCCGCTCCTGGAGCATCGCCCCGTCGGGCCTGAGCTCCGCTGTCTCTCGCCCCGCCCTGTTCCCCTGCTTTGCTGACGCTCTGCCTTCGGCCAGGAGTGCCTTTCCCGGCTTCCCTGAGCGCCTCTCATAGACCCCTGTGAGACCCAGACCAGCCTTCGCCTCCAGAAAGCCTTCAGGAGTCTCCTCCCACCCCCTCCCTACCCAGCTGCAAGACCCCAAGGCTGGCCAGGCCCGGAGCCCAGCGGGGACTGGGGGTGGGGCGTGGACGGCCCGTTGTCCTGGCCAGGGGGCCGGCCAGCAGGCCCCCCTTGCGGATGCAGGGCTGTCCTCCTTGTCCCCCGAAGACGCTGCTGAGGAGCATCCCTGGATGCCAAACCCGAGAGCCTCCTGGGGCACGTCTACCACGCGGCCGGGACAGCGTCCCACGGGCGGTGCCGGGAGCCCCAAAGTGGACGCCCCACACCTGCCCTCAGGCCACTGGGGAGAGACTTCCCGCAGCAAAGGCAGCTGAGCTGGCCGCAGCTCGGGCCGGGCTGTGGGGCTGCGGGGACCCACAGCTGCACGTGCAGGCCGGCTGCTGAAGCCGTCCGTCCAAATACAGCTGGGCGGGCCCCCCCCCTCCCCACTTAATTAGCTCTTAACTGACTGTGCAGAAGCTTCAAAAACAGAAGACTCTCCGTGGCCTTCAGCGGTGGGGCTGGACTCCTCCAAGAGCTCTGGGTGGAAGTTACTCCGTGAGTGGCCTGGTTCAGTAGCCCCCTCCCCATTTTACAGAGGGGCCTAGAGAGGGAAGTCATGACAGAGGTAATCACACAGAGCAGACGTGATGGTGAGCCCCTGGCCAGCATTTGCTGCCTGCGCTCTGCTTGACGGCTTTGGGCCGGCGTTCTGTATGACTGATTCTGCCAGGAGGTGGGGTGCGTGCTAAGTCACTTCAGTTGTCTCTGACTCTCTGCGACCCTATGGACTGTAGACTGCCAGGCTTCTCTGTCCATGGAGATTCTTTAGGCAAGAATACTGGAGTGGGTTCCCCTTCTCCAGGGGATCTTCCTGACCCAGGGATCAAACCCGTGTCTCCTATAGCTCCTGCATTGCAGGTGGATTTTTTACCGCTGAGTCACCAGGGAAGCGTGGGGTGGATGGTCCCATTTTACAGATGAGAAAACTGAGGTCCAGAGAGGGAATGCCATGACAAGATGCTGCCTTGAAGCCAGACACTGGGCTGTTCACATGAATAACCCCGCCCTTGTTGAATCCCCCATAAGCCCTCTGCATAGATGTAAATTAGCCTTGTTTCATGGAGGAGAAACCTGAGTCTTGCATGTTCTGCACACAGAACCTGCCTTTGAGCTGTTTCCCATCCATTTCCTGAGATTAGATGTTAGGCCAAAAGGATCCTGCAGGGCCCAGGAATCACAAACCTTCCTTACCTGTGATGAGATCCACCCTCTGAAACCTCGGTTGCCCGGTAAAAACCTCCACATCCCAGGCTCTTCCTGGTGTGAATGAGGGGCCGGCTTTGTTTTTATTCCGTCGTCTCAGAAATGATGCCGAATAATGAAGCCGCTTTTAAAGATCACCCCACCCAGGATATAAAAAATGCCAAAATGTTTGTGGTGAAAAATAATCCAGTTACCCGTTTCCTAGAGTGTGCTGCCATCGCAAATCGAATTGAAAGCAAAATCAGTCCTCTTTTAATTGGTTCAAATGAAGCTGTTATTCAAAATCTGATTGTTGTTGTTGCTGCTTCCTCGAGGATTCAAGTAGGAGGCAAAACAATGGGGCGATTCTCTTGCGCTGGGCGTCGCTCTGTAATCGGCAGGGCCCAGCTGCCCGGGGCCCAGGGCCCAGGGCCTCGCGGCTGGGGTGGGACTTGCCCGTCTCGGCCCTGGGTAAATGCAGACGTGCCTGGAGCCCAGTCGTGGGACCCCTGCCTGGCGTGGGGGAGGTGCCCCCAGCCACTCAGTCTGGGCACAGAGTGATGTCAGCTTCCCCAGGCCCCGACTGGGCTTAGAATCTGACTGAGCTGTGAGATCCCTGAGCCTCAGTTTCCTCCTCCGGAAAGTGGGTACAAGGCACAGGGTCCCCTCCTCTCACTTCCCGTGGCTTCTGCAGGGAACCAGCAAGGACCCGGAGGCCCCATTGGCGACTGTACCACGCGGGAGTTGAGAGCCTGCCCGGCACTTCCCTTGGGCAGGCCTGGCCCTGCTTTAGGCCCAGAGTCCTTCCACACTGGGCTCCGAAGGCCGGCCACTGGGAGGGGAAAGGGGTTTCTGAAGCTCCGAGCACAGGGCTGGGGGTGTCAGGTTCATGGGTCCTCGCCGCCAGGGGTGGGACCAGCCCCTTGGCGGCACAGAGGGGCCCTGGGATAGCAGGGGCTCTGGCCGGGACACTGGCCTCCTCCAGGGCTTGTGGACATGCCGGTCACATGCAGGAGCATGGCAGGACTTGTCTCTGAAGATGGCAGGAAATCCAGATCTGATGCTAATCCCAGCAGGATTGACCCAGCCTGGATCAACCCAGATCTGTGAGGTGCCCGAAGTCGCCTCTGTCTCTGGTGCTCTGGGGGAGGTCACTGGGGGAGGGGGCATTCACTCATTAGTTGGCCCATCCACTCACCCATTTCACTCATTCAGGAAGCATTTATGGGGATTTTCCTTGTGGTCCAGTGGCTAAGACTCCCTGCTCCCAATGCAGGGGGGCCTGGGTTCCATCTCTGGTCAGGCAGCTAGATTCCACATGCCTGCAACGGAAAATAAGCCGATCCCCAAAGAAGATGGAAGATCCCGCCTGCCACATCTAAGACCTGGCGCAGCCAAAGGAAGAATAAATCTTTAAGTGAAAGTGTTCATTGCTGTCCTGTCCGACTCTCTGCCACCCCTTAAAGTGTAGTCCTCCAAGCTCCTGTCCATGGGATTCTCCAGGCAAGACTACTGGAGTGGGGTGCCATGCCCTCCTCCAGGGCACCTTCCGGAAACCCAGGGATCCAACCCAGGTCTCCTGCATTGCAGGCGGGTTCTTTACCATCTGAACTACCATGAGAGAAGCACTGATGGACTTGAGCTGGACGTGGGTTGTGGGGACATGCCAACGAGATCCTACAAGCGCTTAATGCCCTCCTGTAACGAGGATGGTCTTTATGGCACAAACAGGGCACACTTATCAGCATTCTGTCAAAAAAGATCTCTACTGAGAGCCCACAGCCCACCAGGCACCAGATTAGCCACGTGAAGACCCCCGCCGCTCCGTGGAGCTCGCAGTCCTCGGGAGGATGGGCAGCTGGCCGCAGAAGCGCTGAGGCAAATACGACTTTACAGACTCTGGTGTGCGGTATGCGGGGGCCTGACCTGGGGTGAGAGGTGGGGCTCGGGGGAGCAGCTGGGGGTGAGCCGCCCCCTCCTGGCGTGTCTGTCTGGGACACGGCCTTACCTGGGGATGCAGCGGCTGGAGTGTGTACTCTGGGTTTAGGCCTGTATCTGTCCTGGAGCCGCCCTAATGTGTATACCCGAGATGGGCAGAAATGTAATTCCTCGCGGTCCTGGGGGCGTGGAGCCTGAGATCAAGGTGTCTGCAGGGTGGGCGCCTCTGAGGTCTCTCCCCGGGGTGTGTACATGGCCATCTTCTCCCTGTGTCCTCTCGAGATGGCCCCTCTGGGTCCTTTCTTGTAAGGACACCGGTCAGATGGCACCAGGACGCTCCCCAAAGACCTCACGTTCCTTCCTCAGCTCTGTCAAGCCCTTCTCTCCAAAGCAGCCCCATTCCCAGGGGTCAGGGACTCAGGCCTCAACACATGAATTTGGGGGAGGGGGGACGTAGCTCCTTGTAGCTCCATTTCCGGGCTGCACACAAGGCAAGTGACGTGGACAAGTTCCCCCAGCCTCCTGCCTTGGTTTCCCCACTTGCAGCCTGAGAGAGGACTGTTACCGCCTGTCCCACGGGTTTCCTAGAAAAAAACACTGGAGGAGTGCTCGGGGTCGGTCAGCTCCCAGGGGAGGTCAGGGTCCTGGGGCAGCTGCTCTCAGCCTGCTCACCAACCCCGAGGGGGTGGGGGGTGTCTTTGGGGCTGCTTCAGGCAACCCCCCAGGGACATGCAGCTGCAGGGAGGCAGGGCCAGGAGGTCCCAGGCTAACATTCCTGGGCTGGCAGGAAGTCTTGGCGGGCCTCACAAGTTGTCACCAAGCCAAAGAGGCTCGCTGAGTGTGGAGCTGGGCCCTGCAGCCTGCCACCTCTGTGACCCCCGGGTGGTTAAAAAAAAATGTTTATAACAGTTTTATTTATAATAGCCAAAAAACTGGAAACCATTCAAAAATCCATCAGCTGATAAGTGAACAAATAAATGGCTGCCTCCGTGCAGTGGAAAACTGTTCAGCGGTACAAAAGGGCCAGCTCCGGATGTGTGCAAAACGTGACGGCTCTCCCACGCCTTACATGAGAGGAGGCCAGGCTCAGAAGGCCACAGACTCGAGGGTTTCCATTTACACGCTTTTTAAAAATAGACTTTATGTTTTTAGGGCAGCTTTAAGTTCACTGACTCAACGGACTTGAGTTTGAGGAAGCTCCGGGAGTTGGTGATGGACAGGAGGCCTGGTGTGCTGTGGTCCATGGCGTCACAAAGAGACGGACACGACTGAGCTACTGAACTGAGCTGAACCAGGTTCATATCACGACTAAGCAGGAATCAGGTGGTGAGTTCCCACACAGCCCTGGGGCTTCAGCTGATTCCTCCAGGATCACAGGGGGAGGCTGACAGGGCTCCGGCAGGGAGGCTGCGAAGGCCGCCAGCTGCTCGTGCTCAGCCGTGTCCGACTCGTCCTGACCCCACGGGCTGTAGCCCACCAGGCTCCTCCGTCCATGGGATTTTCCAGGCAAGAATGTTGGAGTGGGTTGTCATTTCCTCCTCCAGGGGATCTTCCCAACCCAGGGATCAAACCCATGTCTCCTCCATCTCCTGCATTGGCAGGCAGGTTCTTTACGCCACCAGGGAAGGTCGTCAGGTGCCACGCCCAGGAGGTTCTCAGAGGCTTGATAAATGCGTGGTGGAGGTGGCTGGCTAGCTGGCCAGCTGGCCGGCCCCCAGAGCTTGCAGATGGTGGGAGACGCAGGCTCCGGAGGGTTCTGGAAAGCTGCCCCCCAGCCGGGCTGCTCAGAGCCGGGAGGAGGGATCCTCCAGCCCCGCCTGGCCTCCTGCGAGGCTGATCACTTGCTCTAATGATGGAAAACTACCAGCTTGGCCTCTAGGCTTCCGCGGGAGCCAGCTCTTATCTCACATCAGCAGCCCGCTGAGGCCTGGGGAGTTGAGGGGATGCGGGGGCCCCTTTCTGCTTCTGGAGATGCCGGGCGGCGAGGCTGCACACGAGCCCGGCGGCGTCTCCACCCATCGGGCTAGAGTCCTGCCAGGTCCCCACCCACCTCGGCCACGGTCAGATGAGGGGGCCTGCACAGGGGATGATGGCCTGTCTGTGGGGACGCGGCTCAGGTCCTGGCTGTCACTGTCCTGGCTGTGTGACCCCCCTGAAAGAAGCCCCCCAACAGGGGCTCTGTTCATCACCTGCCACCTGCTGATGGCAAAGAGACCAACCACTCGCCCTGCCGCCGGGGAGCCTGCGGCTCAGGCAGAGTAGGGCCCGCCAGGGGCTGCAGGTACCGAGGCTGGGCTTGAACCCCCGTCCCAGGGCCTGGGCTCCTGGGAGGGGCACCAGGACCCCTGCTGCCGGGGATGCCCTGCTTGAGAAGCTGCAGGTGCCCCTGGCTCCCCTCCCCTCTCTCTCCCCATCCCCTCTCCCCCTCCCCTCTCCAGTGAGTGAATGAGTGAGTTAAAGAATGAGTATGTGACTGAATGAGTGAGTGAATAAATGAATGAGTGAGTAAATAAGTGAGTGAGTGTGTGTGTGAGGGAATGTGTGAGTGAGTAAATGAGTGAGTGAGTGAGTGGGTGAATGAGTGAGTGTGTGAGTTTGTGAGTATTTGAGTGAGTGAATGAGTGAGGGAATGAGTGAGTGAGTGTGTGTGTGAGAGAGTGAGTGAGTGGGTAAAGTGAGTGAGTGAGCAAACGAGTGAGTGAGTGAACGAGCAAGCGGCCGGTCTGGGGGGTGAGGACGTCCCAGGGCCTGCTAGCCGAGTGCCGCCCTCAGCTGGGCTCCCTGCAACCGCCCCCCTCCTCCCTGGCATCCACTGTTCTCTCCCCCGGGGACTGGGGTGTCCTGAGCCCCCCTCAGTCCAGGGAGACGGGGCCTTGCACAGTGGGGGACGGGGGGTGCCCGGGCGGGCGCAGGGGCTGCCTTCTCAGGGGCAGGGCTGGGGGCAGGCCCGTGGCCAGGCGTGCTCAGGACAGCATGCGGGACAAGAGGGGGGTGCGAGGCCCTCGGGTGAGGGGATGAGCGGAAGGATGTGGGGCCCCCGGGTGCGGGATGAGAGGGGGGCGCGGAGCCCCTGGGAGCGGGGACGAACCAGGGGGTGCGGGCCCTCAAGGAGACACGGCCCGTGTCGGCCCCCGGGACAGATGCAGGTGGCTGCACGCCCTCCCCGCTGCCGCTCAGACGTGAACAACAAAAGCTTTGTCGTTGCCTTTCCAGCCTAGATGAGATCAATAAGTTCTGGAAACGGGAGAACAGCTGACCTTTGAGATTTCTAGCAAAACTTCAAAGTTTGCTTTGGGCTCTGGCTCAGGACCGGGGGCAAGTCTCAAGGTGCCTGAAAGACCCTCCTGCCCCGACATGGTGCCCCCACTCGGGGGTCCGGCAGAGGCGAAGGGGCAAGACCAGGTCCACACAGGCCCCCGAGGGGCGGGCTCTGAGGAGGCATGGATCCGGCAGGTTGCGTAGACTAGCCGCTCCCCGGGGGCCCCGCTGTGGCTTCGAAGCTTTGGGGGCGCCGTGGGGGCTGGCATCTGACGCCAGGTCCACTCTGCTTCCTGCCTCAGCGCCCCCCGACTGGCAGGCGGGGCACTGGGGACCGTGGATGCACCACCGAACATACATACACTGCAGGCACGCCGTGGACCGGGAGCCCCGGTGGCCTCTCTGCTCCTGGAGCCCACGGGGTCCGGGGGTGAGGAGGGCACACACGTCAACAGGTACCGGAGCTGGTAGTGGGGGGCCCTACTGTAGGGGTTACGGGCTGGGGGAGGGGGCAGCAGGACGCCCAGCGGGTGTGACAGGGCCCAGCCCCCTGCCGGCCCAGCCACCGTGGGGTCTGCGGAGCTGGACGCTGCTTGGAGGGGGTCTTTGGAAACTTCCTAGAAACAGCAGCATCTGGCCTGAGCTTTGGGAAATGCGTAAACCGTCTCTGGGATGGACTCGTCTCTCAGGCAGGACCTCTGGGGAGAGCGCGCCAGCTCCCAGTCAGTACCTGCCGCCTGCAGCCACGTGGAGCACGTCCACGGTGGACACATCGGTAGCGGACGTGAGGTGCTGGCAGGCTGGGGGCGGGGGGAGGAGGCGGGGGTGCAGGGCTCACCCCTCACCCCTCGCTTCTAAACGCCTCCCCCACCCGCTGTGTCCTCCGCAGCCCCCTTGCCCCGCTTGCTGGCTCTTCCCTGATAGGTCCTGCTTCTCGTGAGTGCGTGTGCTAAGTCACTTCAGTCATGTCTGACTCTTTGCGAGACCCCAGGGACTGCAGCCCGCCAGGCTCCTCTGTCCACGGGATTCTCCAGGCAAGAATTCTGGAGCGGGTTGCCCTGCCGTCCTCCAGGGGGTCTTCCTGACCCAGGGATCGAACCTGCGTCTCTACGTCTCCTGCGTTGGCAGGTGGGTTCTTTAAGCCAGCACCACCCAGAAGGCCCACACCGAGGGCCCCACCCCCGGAGCATTGGGTCCCCCGTTGTGTTTGGCCCCAGACAGAGCTTTTTGTTGCCCAGACAGCTGTGGCCCCGCAGGCGGCTCCTCCTGCCCAGAGGCTCACATCCCTGCCTCCCCGCCTCTAGCGGCCCCATGTCCAGCCCCCAGTCCCACTCGAGGGGACAGCGCGGGGCTCTGCTGATGGGTCAGGTGTGGCTTCCAGAGCGGTGTGGACAGCTCCCCCGGAGGGAGGGCTGGCTGGTGGGACGGGGGCGGGCTGGTCTTACACGCGGTATGAGGGCCGGCCATGAGGGGTGTGTGTGTGTGAATGTGAGGACGGACGGGGCTGGGCACCCCTATGTGGGAGCTGAAGGCACGGCGAGGAGAGGGGGTCCTGGGAGCCGGGGTCCCTGCAGCAGATGGAGGGTCAGTCTCACAGTGACCCAGAGGGTCCCCGGGAGCTCCACATGAGCCAGCAAGGCCGGCACTGCTGACCGGTGTGGACACTGAGGCCTGGAGATGGGACAGACCTGCTCATTGCCGCCAAAGGAGGGGGCCCAGACTCCTCGGGCTTCTAGCTCCCCTTTGTAGGAGCTGCCCATGCCAGCAGGGCACCCCAAACATATTGGCCAGTCACTAGGATGAAAGGAGAAGCCTCCCCCCAAAAATAGGTGTGAGGTGGCAGCTGTCTCCTGCAGCTGAGCCGCTGGCCCCTTGGATTTCAAGGTCTCAGAACAAGCCTTTTTAAAGAGCACCGGGTCTTGCCTGCATCCAGGCCAAGTCAGCTTTCCCTGCCGGTTTTGGGAGGGGGTTGGCTCTTTCTTGGGGCTTCCCAGGTAGCGCTAGTGGTAAAGAACCCACCGGCCAATGCAGGAGATGTAAGAGACCCAGGTTTGATCCCTGGATCAGAAGATCCCCTTAAGGAGGGCATGGCACCCCGCTCCAGAATTCTTGCCTGGAGAATCCCATGGACAGAGGAGGCTGGTGGGCTGCAGTCCCTGGGGTCTCAAGAGCTGGAGGCAACTGAAGGGACTTAGCAAGCAAGCACACACGCTCTTTCTCAGACATCCCATCTCTCCAACTTCAACAGGAAGAGTGGCTGTTGTTATTCAGTCGCTCAGTCGTGTCGACTCTTTGCCCCATGGACTGCAGCACGCCAGGCCTCCCTGTCTGTCACCAACTCCCAGAGTTTACTCAAACTCATGTCCATTGAGTCGGTGATGCCATCCAACCATCTCATCCTCTGTCGTCCCCTTCTCCTCCCGCCTTCAATCTTTCCCAGCATCAGGGTCTTTTCCAGTGAGTCAGCTCTTCGCATCAGGTGGCCAAAGTGTTGGAGCTTCAGCATCAGTCAGACAGCAGTTGTGGATTTCAGCTCAGACAAGGTTCGGATGCTCGTGCGTGTATGGGGGTGTTGGTGAGGGGCCACGTGCGGGCCTATTTTGTGTGTGTGTGTGTGTGTGTGTGTGTGTGAGCGCACACGGTGTCCCAGTGGGCATTCTTATTAAGAAAAGCATCTCCTTAGGTTATATATACAGAGACAAGCTGCAGGCAGCATTTTAAGTTTCTCTTTTCTTAAAAGGACTGAAAGAAACACCTCTCTCAGCGACCATGGAGTGCTTGCATCAGCAAAACAGGGCTGGGTTGCTTCGGGGATCTCATTAACTCCCCAGCATAGCACAGCTAACTTACCCTCCGGGGGACAACGTGGGCTCTCCCGACTTTTTTCTGATTTTTCCCGAGTGTCAGGCGTCGGGCGTCTGCCTGCACCCTGGGGAGGTGGGGGGGGACTCTCCATTCTCAGCCCCCGCCCTCCTCGCCCCTCTGTTTCCCTGCATGTGGTTGAATTTGGCGTGCGTGTTGGGTTTACAGAGACGCAGGGTCCAATCAGCCTCTCTCCTGGGCAGCTGGGTCAGCGTCCCCTCTGGGAGGTGAGGTGACGCGGAGAAGACCGTCCCCTTCGTTCCTGACTTCTCATGGCTGTACAGTCAGGTTTAAACGAACGTCTGGGGCAGCTGTGATGGGAGAGGAGCCGGGCCGGGGGTGGTCAGCAGGTTTCTGATTCCCCGCCGGGGAACCCGAGGCTGCAGCTGTGGTCTGTGGGGGAGGATGGTCATTGACCCGTGATGCCTGCCAAGGGCGGGGGCAGGAAGCAGGGGCAGAGGTTCCATGTACCAAGCAGGGCTGAGCCGCCATCGTGGGTGTGGCTATGGGGAGTGAGGACAGCCGTGGTTCCTGGTGACAGTCAGCTCTCCTGAGAGTCACTAGAGCCCGCCCAGCGTCGGTACCTCAGGGCATTTGCACCTGCTGCTCCGTCCGCCTGGAGCACCGCCCCTCACCTGTGACCTCATTCATCCCCTGTTGTCCAGCTTGAGCGGGTCCTCCCCCATGCCACCACCTCACCCACCCTGTCCCAGGCGGGCACCCAGCCCCTGGACCCCACTGCTCTGTCTCCACCCTGTCTCCCCACGCCCGGCTGGATGGGCCCTCCCGGTACGCCTCGGTGCCCAGTGCCCTCCCAGGAGCCTGGCGCCACCCAGGGTGCCCGCCTTCTGCAACTGGTGCCGACTTCTAGCTCTGGCTCCAGGCAGGCAACCCCCCTTGGCAAGAGCCCCCAACTTGCCTCAGAGGAATCGGGTCTCACTCCAGGGTCTCCATTGCACTGGTCAATCATTTCTAGATATTTGAGAGTCACTTCTTCAGCTAGGTTGTACGTTTTCCCCTGGGCGTTCTGGGGAGGCAGGGGCCCAGTGATGACTGATTTTGCAGTTCCCCGGGGACGCCTTGAATTCGTGGGCAAACTCCCTCTGGCCTTGAGAGGCCATAGTCATGCCCCAGGGCTTTGAGATGCAGAAGCTGACGGCTGGTGTGGAAGGGCTGCTGAGAAGGGGACCCCCGGGGACCCCCAGCGGCCAGAGTGCAGAGAGCTCAGGGTAGACTGTGCAGAATGCAGGGAGCAGGTCTCTTCCTTGGGGGCTGAGCAGCCTCGCACGGAACAGACAATGCTGACGGCAAGAGGGCCTGCGACTCACCCGGGTGGGGGTGGGGTGGCTCTAGGAAGCAGGAGGTGTGTATATGGGGCGGGGGCTCCGAGCCCTGCGGAGGGAACGGCGTGGCCAAGGCTGGCCCCTCTTGGAAGCAACGGGGGGTGGGGTGCTCACCAGGGTCGTCCAGCTACGGGGAAGAACAGGGACCTTCACCCAAGCGCCGCGGAGCGTGGTGGGGCCAGGCGGCCACGCTCAAGTCCCCATGCGGCTATTACTGTTCAAACACTCACTGTCTTTTCCTACTGTTTATGGGTTCTCAAGGCAAGAATGCTGAAGTGGTTTGCCATTCCCTTCTCCAGTAGACCACTGTTTGTCAGAACTCTCCACCGTGACCCGTCTGTCTTGGGTGGCCCTAGGCATGGCTCATAGTTTTATTGATGTATGGATGTGAGAGTTGGACTATAAAGAAAGCTGAGGGCCGAAGAATTGATGCTTTTGAACTGTGGTGTTGGAGAAAACTCTTGAGAGTCCCTTGGACAGCAAGGAGATCCAACTAGTCCATCCTAAAGGAAATCAGTCCTGAATATTCACTGGAAGGACTGATGCTGAAGCTGAAACTCCAATACTTTGGCCACCTGATGGGAAGAGCGACTCACTGGAAAAGACCCTGATGCTGGGAAAGTTTGAAGGTGGGAGAAGGGGACGACAGAATGAGATGGTTGGATGGCATCACCGACTCAATGGAGAGGAGTTTGAGTAAACTCTGGGAGTTGGTGATGGACAGGGAGGCCTGGCTGGCTGCAATCCCTGCGGTCCCAAAGAGTCGGACACGACTGAGTGACTGAGCTCAACTGAACAGACCTCACTGTCTGGTCGCGCCCTTGGCTCAGGAGTGCGGCCCGGGTCCCTGTGGCCAATGAGAGGAGGCTGGAAGTGGCTTGTTCCCTTGGGAGCAGAAGCTTGGCTTCCTCTCCTTCCCTCAGCAGTGCCCCCACCCCAGCAAACTGGGAGCTGGAACAGAGAGACAGACAGACATGCAGCCTGAGGAAGAGGCAGACTTATTTCTCCAGGCCCCCGGGTCTGGGGGGCTGTTTGTCCCTGCAGTGTGACTCAGCCTTCGCTGCCTGAGACTCCCAGCTTCACTGTCTGGCCTCAGTTTTCCCAGCTGTAGAATGGGGGAATGACAGGCCCCCTCCAGGGCTGCATGTTAGAATGGGCTACTCCTTACATGTAAAGCACCCAGTAAAGGCGCTCAGCTTGAAGTGAACGCTCTTAGCAAGAAGTAAGAGCAAGAAAAATTCTGATTTCTATCGAGACCTCAGCCTCGATTCCGGTCACCTCAGTCCAGAGACCCATCCACACAGTAACTTCCCCACCTGGAGCCCTACGGAACACTGGTCCTTAGCATGCTGACAGATGGGCCATAAAAACTGCAACTTGGAGAACTGAGAGTTAAACCAAATTAAATTGTTGATTTTGATGCCCGGCTTCTTGGAGCCTTGCATATGCTAACAGGCCTTTGACTTTCCAAGAGTCTGCTTCCCCACGTGTGATCGTGAGAGTGTGATGATATGCGTGCGTGCATGTGTGCACCCTGGCTGGTGGGAGTGGGCCTCGGAGTCTGACCCAGGGGCAGAATGAGGGAGGAGCAGACCACAGTGGGGAGGGAGGGAGGAGGAGCATGATTGAGGGAGGGGATCCCAGGGCTGGGGCACCTGAGCCTTTGTCTTTAAAGACGGAGGGGAGACAGAAGGCGACCAGGACTGCTTGATGGCTTGGGGGCACCTTGGTCTAGGGGCTGGTGTCTGGGAGACGGGAAGGGGAGGGCCCTGGGGTTCAGGCCCTGCGGGTGCTCTCAGAGTCAGGCAGCTGCAGGGGGCAGTGAGCGGCTGGGTCCCGCCTTGGGGTGCGGGTCCACCTCCGGCTGCCTGGAGCCTGAGGCTACGGGACTCTCAAAGTCTGGCCTGCTCCCTTGCTCTTGGCAAGTGGCTCGGGCAGAGGCTAATTGGATCTGCGGATTTGGTGCGACTGTTTACAGAAAGCTTTTAGTCCCCAGGACAGGGTGGAAATTGGATTTCAGGCTCCTGGCTTAAAGATGCTCCCTGATTCCCAACGCCCATCCTTCTGTGTGTCGGGGGCTCGGGCAGCTGCCTCCGTCCAGGGGAGACGATAAATTATGCATCCATTTAATACCAGCTCAGACCAGATGGATGCCAGGGGCTTGAGCCGTCCAGCGTGTCTCATCTCTGAACAAATCCATTTTGCTCACATGAGCACAGAACTCCGGGCTGGCGGTCATTCGAGAAGTTTCCTCAGCGAGAGCACTAAGCCTGGGTCGTGTGTCTGGGTCTGCGGGACCCTGGGGGGAGGGCAGCCCTCTGTGCTCCGGGCTACCTGGTGAAACCCTTGGGAGGAGTGATGCATCTTTTCTTCACAGAAGCACCTAGCGGCTCCTGGGCAGTTAGTCTTGGCAAAGATGCTTTAAATGTGCCGGCCGGGGTGCTGGGGAACGTTTACACTCCTTGTGTGACTCTCGGACCGTGATTGTGTGTCCACTCTGTTCCCGTCCATCTCAAGCTGAAAAGCCACCTCCTTCAGGAAGCCTTGATGCGTTTTCTCACTTCTCTGACCTGTCACTGCTGGAACCACTACCTGGCCCAGATGCAGGCTGCCTGGGGTAGCCTCTTCCAAGGGTGAGTGTCCCAAGGCTTGTTGGAATCCTCTTCCCTGGGGCGACCTCTCTATCTCTCTGGAAACCCTTCTTGAGCCGAGAGAGGCAGAGAGAGGGGGTCTCCAGGGAGAACCAGGACTTGAATAGAGGGGAAAGAGAGACGGGGCAGAGCTGCACTCCACTGTCTGTGTGGAGGGCAGGGCCTGGCCACGCTCTCCCTGTTTCCACGAGAAGCTTCCAGAAAGATGTGTTCTGTGACTCTGTTTGGGAAGGGAGGAGACTGAGGCCCAGGAGGGTGGAGGCTTGACCAGGATGAGCTCTCTGCTCCAGGGGCCTCCCAAACACCCCCTGCCACGTCTCTGTCTCTCCCCGGGGCCAGCCCCGTTCCTGTCCACAGGGGGCACCTCGCCTCCCAGGTGCAAACACAGAGTGGACAGTGACATGGGTCCCGGGTCGTGGTGGGGACCCAACCCCAGGCCTGCAGGGACTCGGCCCTCGGACATGCTCAGAGGCAGCCGTGTCCACATGCGTGTTCACAGTGCAAGGGCATCGCATGCCAGCTGGGATGATGCAAATGTGCGACGACATTTCACATGATCGGATTTGCTTGGTGAGCAGAGCTTCAAACAATCGAACCCGGAGGCAAGTGGCTTTGCCTCCCTGACTTCAGTCTTCTCCACGGGCCAAGCTTCGGAGCATCTTCCCCTGAGCTGGCAGCAGCAACAAGCATCTGAGAAAGGGTGTCAGAAGCCAGACAGGCCAGGAATGTGGAGGACGGGCCCTTGTGTGTCCCCATCAAGGTGGCCATCTGCGAAGCACCTGCTGTCGGCCCAGGGCTCGGCCGGGAGCCAGAAGCAGAGACGGCATCCCCGCAGCATCCAAGTGTCTCCTGAAGCTACAGGGTTTGCGATCAGGGGTGCGGGGGGGAGGGGTGCCCTTGTAAACCCCCAGGCTCAGATTCAGCTGCGAGGGAGGGGCCAGGTCAGTGGGGACGGCCACCGCTCTGTCTCGCGTGCCCTCTGCCAGCTGGGGTGTCAGCAAGACCGGCTCCGTGGGGAGAAGGGCTGTAGGCTGCTCGCTGATTCCTCATTCCCGCCACGCTGCCTCTGCTGAGAGCACAGCCCAGCCCTCCCCTGCAGGAGGGCCAGGCCCCCTCACTCCAGGGCAGCCAAGCAGAGGTAAGGGTGTCAGTAACCCAGCGTGGAGAGGTGCCCGAGACGACCGATCCAGAAAAATGGGAACGCGAGTCCGTAAGAAGAGAAGCTTACAGAGGCGCATATGCTCCTGGCAGGGGCCAGAAAGCGCTGTTTTTAAAAGCCGAGCTGGGGCAGTGAGACCTCAGCACCGGGCTTCTCACCCCTTCCCTGGCCCCTCCACCTTCTCCTGGCCATGGCGGGTGTGTTCCCGTAAGAGGGGCGAGACGCATCATTGCAGAGTGGTGGAGGTGAGCCGCGGGCTCTCCTGGGGTGGGAAGACCTGTCCCGCTGGGGGCGTCAGGAGCACTGGGTGTCCCAGGCTGGTGGAAACATCAGAGACAGAAGAGGAGGGAGCTTCTCTCGCAAGAAATTAATCCAGAAATTAATCACCAGGAGAGGAGCCAATTCCCACCCCCCCAAAAAAAAATTTGTTAGAAATGGAAGATGCTTGCCACCTGGAACTGGGCAAGAATGATGAATAATAAATGTCACTATTTTTCTGGAGGAGACAATGCAAAGCTGTGATTTAGTAATTACCCACATGTCTTTGTCAAACCCTTCGAAGGGTCCCCCAGAATGCTCACACTGTCGTGTTGCATTTTCAGAGGAAGGAGGAAAAGTGGAGGCCCAGGTGGGAAGGGCCACCTTGGCAGGGCGGTGCTCAGACGGGTCCGGTGCCGAGTGCTGGGTCCCACCGACAATCCTTGCCTCACTGCTCACCCGAACAGTGCTCCTTTTTAGAGGTGAGGACACGGCCCCAGAGAGATTGAGTCACCTGCCCAAAGACCCACAGCAGAAATGCCAACCCAGGATTCAGTCCTAAGACCATGTGACCCCCCCAAACCTGTGTTCAGCCCTTTAATTTAGTCCATACAAGAGGAGGGGGTCCAGGACAGCACCGCCTCCCTGCCGTCCACCAGACGGAGCCCCTGTTCAGCACGGGGTCCTGGGAACAGAGGCTGACCCTGGGGTCAGCAGGACAGTGGGATGAGCCAGATTCACCAGGTGAAGAGACAGGACTGCCATCAAATTTCAACCTCAGAAACACGATGACTAAATCCGAAGTATATCCCACACGATATTAGGAAATACACTATGAACACAGTCATTGTTTATCTGAAATTGGAATTTAAGTGGGTGCCCCTTTTTATCTGGCGATGCTCTTAGGAGGGAGGCCAGAGCGGGCATCCACGCAGGCCCGCTTCTCGGGTGGCGTGAAATCCCTGGGGCAGCTGAAGGGCCGCGTGCCAGGCACCCTCTGTCCCCGCGGCCCTCTGTTCCTCTGCTCCAGCTACTGCAGCCTCTGGCCCCGCCCCGTCCCTGGGCTGGGTGTGGGGATGACCAGTCCCTCCTGGAGACCCTCACTGGCCAGGATCTGAAGAATATCCTTGTTTCCGCGTCACTGCTCTTAGCCCAGCACCACCTGGGGAGCGCTGTTTTTATGCCACTGTTAGTCTCACCACTTTTTTTTTACAGACAGGACACCAGAGCCCAGAGGCGGATGGTATGACTCTCACAACATCCCACAGTGAGGAGCGGGCACGTGGCTATGCCCCCAGAGCTGAGGCCTCTGCATGGGCGCCTGGCTGGGAGGGAGGCCGGGTGGGCCACATGGTCCAGCCTGGAGTCGTCCCGCAGTCGCTGTTTTCTGGGGTACCAGAGTCCTGGGGTGTGCGGGGGCGTGTCCTCCCCGGCTGCTGACTCCGGGGTGTGGGGGCGCTCCTGGGAGCACTCGTGGAGCGGTTTTGTGTTTCTCAGTGAGACGCCGCTCTGATGGGAAGGTGGCCGACTCCACGGCCAGAGAAACAGGAGGCAAACAGCAACAAGGGAAGCTCCCCAGCGTTTCATTCTACAAAACAGATGCCCACTGCAGTAATGGTGTAAGAGCAGGCACCCGGGCAGGGGAGGCGAGCAGGGTCCCTCTTCTGGAGGCGTCCCACCCGGGCCCCTCCGGGAGAGCGGCAGCTGTTTTGTAACCTGTGTTCTCCCGCCCCTCGCTTCCACGCCCTTTGGGGAAAAAGAAGACCAGGTACTCGGAGCCGACAGACCCAGGGCCGCGCAGGTGCACCCCCGGAGCTCTGACAGCCCAACTCTCTGTTCTGGTCTTTCCCTTAGTCATCCATTTGGCGGCAGGACCCGTCTCGAGACGACACATGGACAGTCGGTCTGTCCTCTGTTTCTGAAGCTCTCGCCTTGCTGCACGTCTGTGATGCGTTTGGTTAACGAGGCTCCCGGCCCCTGCGGCACCGTGAAACGTGCCGAGTGTGCGGTGGTGTTGGTCTCTGTAAAGAGTCCCCAAGCCCACCTGCCCAGGGCCTCCTGGGGGGGCCCCCACACTGCGGCTGAGGGACGGAGCCCAGTCAGAGGCCCGCCACCCCCACCCCACTTCTCCTGGGAGAACCCTGCCCATCCTGGTTCAGAAGCCCGCCCCACCAGACGGTGCTGGGCACGCAGTAGCCGGGGCGCCTGGGCCACTGGGCCGCAGGCCTGGGAGGGACGGTGCGGTCCCCCAGCTCATAGCGCCCGGCTTGGGGCTCCACGCTCTGCAGTCCTAACGTTTTATCCTTGCCTGTGTTTTCTATGAGTGAAGGGCGGGGGGGTAGTTCATGGGGTCCTGCCTCCCACCCCCTCCAGGCCGGACTCAAGGGAGGGGCTCCGGGGGCGCCTCTGCCCCGCCCAGTGGCCCCTCCCTGCTGGGCAGAGCCTGGTCCACCTCAGTCTCGGGGTGCAGCTCCGGGGTCTGCACGCACCCCTCAGAACCCCTCACACCGGCGGTGCACAGGACACGACAGGGCAAGAGGGAGGGGCAGAGAAAGGAGACGGGGCTCCTCCTGCCCGTTCCTTTTTTAACTGAGGTCACATTTGTTGATAAGTAATCCCGCCCTGGTGGCTCAGACGGTAAAGACTCCGCCTGCAATGAAGGAGAACCAGGTTCGATCCCGGGGGCGGGAGGATCCCCTGGAGAAGGGAATGGCAACCCACACCAGTATTCCTGCCTGGAGGATCCCCATGGACAGAGGAGCCAGGTGGGCTGCAGTCCATGGGGTCGCAGAGAGTCGGACATGAGTGAGCGACTAACCCTTTAGTTGATAACGTCATATGTTCCTGTGACAACATTGTGTTTCTATTTCTGTGTCCATGACAGCGTTGTTGTTATTCAGTCGCTCAGTCGTGCCCAAGTCTTTGTGATTCCCGGGACTGCAGCTCACCAGGCTTCCTTGCCCTTCACTATCTTCAGGAGTTTGCTCAAACTCATGTCCACTGGTCCATTGAGTTGGTGATGCCATCCAACCATCTCATCCTGTGTCATCCCCTTCCCTTTACCTCAATCTTTCCCAGCATCAGGGTCTTTTCCAATGAATTGGCTCTTCGCATCAGGTGGCCAAAGTATTGGAGCTTCAACTTCAGCATCAATCCTTCCAATGAACATTCAGGGTTGATTTCTTTTAGGATGGACTGTTTTGATCTCCTGCTGTCCAAGGGACTCTCAAGGGTCTTCTCCAACACCACAGTTCCAAAGCATCAACTCTTCTGCAGTCAGCCTTCTTTATGGTCCTGTTTTCACATCCATATATGACTACTGGAAAAATCATAGCTTTGATTACATGGACCTTTGTCAGCAAAGTGATGTCTCTGCTTTTTAATACACTGCCTAAGTTTGTCATAGCTTTTCTTCCAAGGAGCAAGTGTCTTTTAATTTCGTGGCTGCAGTCACTGTCCACAGTGATTTTAGAGTTTGAGAAAATAAAATGTGCTCCTTTTTCCACTTTTCCCCCATCTATTTGCCATGAAGTGATGGGACCAGATGCTATGATCTTAGTCTTCTGAATGTTGAGTTTTAAGCCAGCTTTTTCACTCTCCTCTTTCATTTTCATCAAGAGGCTCTTCAGTTCTCTTTGCTTTTTGCCCTTGGAGTGGTAGCATCTGCGTATCTGAAGTTGTTGATATTTCTCCCAGCAATCTTGATTCCAGCTTGTGATTCATCCAGGATTTTGCATGATGTACTCTGCATATAAGTTGAATAAGCAGGGTGACAACATACAGTCTTGACCTACTCCTTTCTCTATTTTGAACCAGTCTGTTGTTTCATGTCCAGTTCTAACTGTTGCTTCTTGACCCACATACAGGTTTCTCAGGAGGCAGGTCAGGTTGTTTGGTATTCCCATCTCTTTAAGAATTTTCCACAGTTTGCTGTGATCCACATAGCCAAAGGCTTTAGCATCATCAATGAAGCAGAAGTAGATGTTTTTCTGGTATTCCCTTGCTTTTTCTATAATCCAATGTCATGAAGTCAAGTGGGCCTTAGGACGCATCACTACAAACACAGCTAGTGAAGGTGATGGAATTCCAGCTGAGCTGTTTAAAATCCTAAAAGATGATGCTGTGAAAGTGTTGTCCTTGATATGCCAGTAAATTTGGAAAACTCAGCAGTGGCCTCAGGACTGGAAAAGGTCAATTTTCATTCCAATCCCAAAGACGGGCAATGCCAAAGAATGTTCAAACTATCATACAATTGCGCTCATCTCACACACTAGCAAAGTAATGCTCAAAATCCTTCAAGCCAGGCTTCAGCAGCATGCAAACCGAGAACTTCCGGATGTACAGGTCAGTGTTCCTACCACCAAGAGCAGCTCTGTCCATCATCGTGTGTAGCTGGCCCCTCTACCCACCCTGCCCTCCCCGAGCCCCCACTTCAGGCAACCCCTGCTCTGCTCTCTATCTACGTGTTTGATTTGTTCGTTTATTTTGTTCTTGTTGGTTTGATTACTTTTTTCGACTCCAAATGTGACTGAAATCCTACAGGATTTGCCTTTTTCCGTCTGACTTACTCCACTTAACATAATGCCTTCAAGGCCCCATCTTCCTCGAGGCCCTTCGAGAGAAGGACCAGCTCTTCCACTGATGCTGGGCCTGCCATCCCGTGGCCTTGCTGCTCTGCAGAGCTGGGCGGGGGTGGGGGTCTTTCTTGTGCACCCCACTTTCCCCTCGGCCAGCCGGGCTCACCTTCCACTCGGACTACACCTCCTTGGAGCCCCCTGGGACCTGTTCTGGTCCGCCCTCCACCTCACACCTCCTGAGGGATGTTCTCCAGGCCTCCAAGGTGTGGCCTCTTTTTTTCCCATCCCCCTGGGGTGTGGGCCGATTGGCACCCCCTCAGATCCACAGGTTGGAGCCCTGAGCCCCGGAATGAGACTGTACTTGCAGAGAGGGCCTTTAAAGAGGGGAGGATGGTAAAAGGGGGTAGTTGGGGTGGCCCTAACCCAGACTGACTGGAGCCCCGACAATCGGAGGTCAGGACAGGGACAAGCAAGGGGCAGATGGCCGCCTGTGGCCGAGGAGAGATGCCTCGGGGGGCACAAGCCCTCACCCCGAGCTTGGATGTCTGCCCTCAAGACTGTGAGGAGCATGAGTTTCTGCTGATGATGCCGCTGGTCTAGTGCTTTGCTGGGTGGCTGATAGGCTGGTACAGTTGGCAGGTCGGCTTTAGACCTGGGTTGAGGACCTCTCCCCCAGTTCCCTCTTGGGGACCGCCATCGTGAAAACTGGTACCGGCTCATCCATGCCGCTGCCCATCACCAGGCCCTCCTCCCTCCCTTCCACGCTGCCCAGGTGCCCGCTAGTCTGGAGGAATGGGGTGGGGGGGACTTCCTGGGGCCTCCATGCTGGGTCCTCTGAAGCCAGGTGCTCCTGGGGCCTCCATGCTGGGTCCTATGAAGCCAGGTGCTCCTGGGGCCTCCATGCTGGGTCCTATGAAGCCAGGTGCTCCTGGGGCCTCCATGCTGGGTCCTATGAAGCCAGGTGCTCCTGGGGCCTCCATGCTGGGTCCTATGAAGCCAGGTGCTCCTGGGGCCTCCATGCTGGGTCCTATGAAGCCAGGTGCTGCCTACCTGACTTTGTGGAGCCCTTGCTCTCAGAACCCTGGCGCCGTCCCAGGAGAAGCCCCAGCCACGTGGAGAGGTGACCGCCTCATGGTCAGCAGCCCCGGCTGAACCCCCATCCTCTGCCCCCTGCAGCTGCGAGCTGTGTGAGGGGCCGACCTGCTCATCCAGCCCAGCTGACCACGTCCCCCAGCAACCACGTGGGAGACCCAAGCGAGAACCTCGTAGCTGACCCCTCTCGACCACAGAGCCGTGGGGGATAAGCCAGCGGCTTGGGGGGCAGTTGCTATGCAGCAGCAGATAAGCAAAGTACCCCCCAAGTGGCCCTGGCTCTGCCTTTGGGGCCACACGACACCAGTCTGAGTGCCCGGGCAGCCCTTTGGAAGTCAGACAGTAGTGACCCCCGGAGCCCCCTCTCCTGGTGAGCAGCCCTGACTCCTGCGTGCTTTCCCCCAAAGATCCAGCCTCAGGCCGCCTTTCCAACCTTCTTGTCGCTGACAAGCCCACTCTAACCTGCCAAGACCCAGGTTACCCAAAGGGACCCACCACCAGCCGTAACACCGCCAAGGATGTGCGACCCACCCAGGATGCTGCAGAACCATCACCTCCTTTATTCTGGACGCTCTGCTCCTATTATTATAACCGAAGGCAAAATGTTCTGTCTAACCACGCTCATCTTATCACCTGCTTAAACGAACCTTGTGTCACTTACACACTCTGCATCCTTTTTAACCAAGCAGACGCCTAGGCAGTTTCCACACTTTTCCTGGGAGCACCGGAGACCAGCTGACCCCTGGCATAGAGGTCACCAACCAAGAGTTCCAGGTGGTTACTGTGTGTCCCCTCTGCCAGTGGGCATGCATCCTAAGTCACTTCAGCTGTGTCTGGCTCTGTGCGACCCTATGGGTGATAGCCTGCCAGGCTCCTCCATCCATGGGATTTTCCAGGCAAGAATACTGGAGTGGGTTGCCATTTCCTTCTCCAGGGGATCTTCCCAACCCAGGGCCAGGGGATCTTCCCAACCCAGGGATCGAATCTGCATCTCTTATGTCTACCTGCATTGTGAGGCAGGTTCTTTACCACTAGTGTCACCTGGGAAGCTCCCCTCTTCTAGCAGGGAGGTGCTAATGAGTGAGTAGGGAGATACAGGATTCATGCTTCGGAAAATTGCACTCCCCCCCCCCCAACCCAAATAAATCTGATCCAACCAGACGAAGCAGTTTGTCACACAGAGTGATGTACATTTTTGAAAGAATTTCAGATTTAAGAAATTCAGTGATTTTTCATCACCCGTCTCAAAAATACCAGAGGAAAAGAAAGAAAACACAGATCCCATCACTTAAAAAAATCAAAATACTTTCTCTTCCAGGGTTTGAATCACCAGTCCCCAGCTCACACGTGGGTTTTCTGAGAATGTCTTGTTCATTTAACTATTTTCCAACCTGGAGGAAGAAATTGTCAGTCAGACGCTATTTCGAGAACAGAAGCTTCTACGGAAGACGCCAAGGAAGCTCTGAGTGCGGTGGGCAGGGACCGAGCTCATCCCCCTGGATGTGTGGCTCAGCCGCGGGCCCGTGGGAGACCCCCACACCCTGCAGAGGTTACTGACTGGTTGGGCTGACCTCTGGGGACCCCGAGTCCCCACCCCGCGAAGTCGTCCAAGTCTCTGAGCAATGAAAGAAGAGTGTTTATCACAACCACCCCCTGTGACGGCCTCATTTCATTTTGGAATCTCCAAATCTTCAACCACTTAGCGAGGAGACAAAGAAAGGACATGTTTCTACGGGGGAAAGCTTGTCGGTTTAATCTCAGAGCCGTAAGACACGAGGCTCAGAGCGGATTTTAGTGGTTTTCACATATGCCGCTCTCCGCGTGAGAAATATGAACGTGACCACCCAGGCGGCTTTTCTGGGAGTTTTAATGCATTATATAAGCACGTTTACATAAATGTTTTCCTGGGTTGGATAAACAGTGTCTTTCTATTTAAATTTTAATCTGGGTCCTTGACAATGAAGTTTATGATCTTTTCGTAACCCTGGAGATTTATCCTTGATGCAGATCTCAAACGTGAAGTGAAATGTCACTAAGTTCACGAGTCTCTAGCCAGACCCCTGGGAAGCAATCAAGAGGGTGGACAGGAGGGTTCATCCCACGGATGTGTTCTGAGAGTGTGCTGTGTCTGTACGTCCCGTCCAGGAGGAAACGAAGGACCCAACGCCTGCCTGCGCGCTGGAGCCTCTGCTGCAGCGGGAGGGGCTGACCCTAAACCCGCAGAGGGTGGTGTTGGGAGGAGCCGTGTGCTCAGGGGGAAACAGCGCCGGCTGTGAAGGGAGCAGAGGCTAAAGGAAGAGACGGTGAGCTACGGTGACGTCTCAGGGGGTGCGTCGGGCAGAGGGAGGGGCAGGCGCAAAGGCCCTGCGGCAGAAGCTGCAGCAGACGGTGGGAGTAGCAGGTGTGAGCAGGGATGGGAGGGATGAGCAAGGTCAGGTCTGGCGTGGAGACGGGGAGGGGGCAGGGCTGACCCTCCAGGAGGCTCTGGGTGGGGCCCGTCCTGCCGTCACGCCTGCCCCAGGGGTGGGGTTCTCCAGCCAGTGCTGACCCAGGCCACCCGCCTTGCCCTGAGTCTTCATTGTCTAGGTCTTGGCTCAGCCCCTCCCGGCTGTGGGTCCTGGAGAAACCTCCCCGGAAGGTGGGGGTCATGGGTTACTGCGGGGGGTGGGGGGGTCAGGTGAGCACGAAGCACGGTGCCCAGAGGGCCTGTGAGCGCTGGTTCTGCTGTGAGGACAAGGCTCGGGCCCTCAAGAGCCCTCACTGCTTACTCCACCTGGCGGCCCTCCCTGACTGCGCCTCCCTCCCACCCTCCTCCAGCGCTTCCTCCAGCAGGCCTCCCTGATTGCCCCAGTCGGGCCCCAGCCTGTCTCACTCTCTCTGGGCCTTACTGGGAGGGATGCTCGCCGACCCCCTCTGTGTCCCTGGTACCCCAGAGGGGGCCAGGTGTCCAGGAGATGCTCACTCCAGGGATGACTGATGACTGAGCGGGGCTGACTCGGGGACGTCCTGAGTCAGGGGTTGGGCCCCAGGCAATGGGGTCCTCCCCATGGATGGAGCCGCCTCCCAGCTTGCTGTCTTCTCTGCTGCCATCTGCAGAGCGTGCCCAGCACCATCAGGACCCCGTGAAGACTGCTCACCTGACACAGGGCAGGCACACAGCTGTGAAGACAGCCAGGACCCAGGGGAGAGGCCTGCACCAAGTCCCTAGACAAGGGTCGCGCCCTGGCTGGGGCTTTGTTGCTGTGGCCCAGGTAAGTCTGCTTCCCTGACGGTGGGATGGTGGGGGGGGGGGGGGGGATGTTGGTCCTCTATGGTTGAGAGGATAGAGCAAGCCACAGGCCTGATGCTCAGAGCCCAGCCTGGGAACACAAGGGGGGTGTCTTGGGTCCACTGTGGGGGTGTCCTTTATGGAGCACTGCCAGGACCCTGGCCCTGGGTGGACGGGCCATCCAGGGCCCCATGCCGAAGGACGTCTGAGAAGGTGGGCAGGTGGGTGACCTCAGGCTCTGCGCGGCCCCCCTCAGGGAGCAGTCGGGGCTGCGGTAGCCCAGTGAGGTCTTCTCATAGGGTTTCCCACCTTGAAGATGTCCATGGGAGGATGCTCTTGTCAGAAGTGGCCAGCAGACCAGGGCTGGTTGGTCCAGGGCAGAGGGGGAGCATTTCTGGAAGTCGGTGGCCCAGCAGTGACTGTTGCCCAGGCAAGAGCTCAAGGCAGCGGCGGGACAGGCCGTGAGGGACCACTGGCTTCCCATCACGGGCTCTGGGAACTCTTCTGAGAGCGAAGAGCAGCATTTGGATGTTTCTTGATTTGTTCTGGAGTAAAGATATGATTAGGATTTCCCTGTAGTTCAGCTGGTAAAGAATCCGCCTGCAATGCAGAAGACCCCGGTTCGATTCCTGGGTCAGAAAGATCCGCTAGAGAAGGGATAGGCTGCCCACTCCACTGTTCTTGGGTTTCCTTGGTGGCTCAGACAGTAAAGAATCAGCATGCAATGCGCGAGACCTGGGTTCGATTCCTGGGTTGGGAAGGTCCCCTGGAAAAGGGAACGGCTACCCACTCCAGTATTCTTGCCTGGAGAATCCCATGGACAGAGGAGCCTGGCAGGCTACAGTCCACGGGGTCACAAAGAGTCAGACACGACTGAGCAACTAAGCCCAGCACAGACGATCTGATTCGTTTGCTTGGAGTCTGAGCCCAAACTATCTTTGGCGAAAACACTGGCTTGGCCAAGCTGGCCACATGGGTGTACCCCATGGCTGAGCCTGGGTCCCAGGAGGGGCCGGCCTGCCCTGGATGGCGTCCCCATTGTGGCGGGAGCCTGGGATGAACAGAGGGGCAGGCTAGGAGGGCGACTCGGTGTCCTCAGGTGTCAGCTGGCCGGAAGCCATGAGGGGCTGTCTGATCGGGGCTGATGTTCGGGGTGCTCCCTGGGTTGGCTGTTTCAGAGGGAGGTATCTCCCCCGGCAGGGAGCATCAGGGCACGGGCCTCCCTGGGTCGCCTCAGTGGGTGCTCACCTGCTGGGGTTCAGCGGGTACCCTCTGCCCACGCCTGCACACCTTCCCCCGGAAACGCCTGCACAGACCATGATGTCGTCTCACCTGGCGTCTATGAGTGGGACCCATATTCCCCATTTTCACCTGAATCCCCCTGGTGACCCAAAGACACGCTGTTTTGATCAGTCCCATTTGAAGGATGGGAAAACTGAGGCCAGGCAGCTGGCTCTCATGTTTTCAGTGGGTCCAGAGTTTGCCTGTGGGCAGCTGGCAGGACAGCAGGCCTTCAGACAGGTGGCGTCCTGGTTGAGGAGGGTGGGGTGGGACCAGGTCATGGTCCCACAGAAGCCCAGGTTCTAGTCCCTGAAACGTGTGGCTGTGTCAGCTTACAGGGCAAGGGGCTGTGCAGGTCAGATGAAGGGCCTTGAGGAGGGGTTATCCAGGCTGGGGAGCGGGGAGGCCAGGGAGTCGCTGGCCAGCAGCCCGGGACTATAGGCAGCCCCAGGTCCTGGACACGGAACCGGCACCCAGAGGCCCTGGACACCTGGACGTCAGACTCTGACGCCCAGAACGGTTAGAGGTTAAACTCATGCTGTTTCCGCCCATTGCAGTGGAGGTGACTCGTGAGAGCAGCCGGAGCAAGCTCGCACACAGCGGACGTGGGCAGCTGGGCTGGGGAGATTGGTGTATCGATGCGCCTGGCCCAGAACCTGCTGGCACTTTTAGTGGGAATGAGGCAGTTTTCTTAAGGCCACTGGCGGTGTTGGAATTAGAAAACCAGCGCCCTGCTCCAACCCTGTTCTGTCTCTGGACCACCTGCTCTCCCTGTGACGGTTCTGGCCGCCCTGGGCTCCACCTGGATGGGGTGTGGGGGCTGAGGCCTGCCCTGAGCACAGGGGTCCAGCAGGTCCCGCACCAGCAGGTCCCCCCAGCCTCGCCCAGGCCTCCCTCAGCCCCTCAACATACGGCCTGTGACCCAGCCAGAGCGTGAAGTGTCGCATGGGGCTTCTGGCCATTGCTGAGAGCGCCCATGCAGGTCAGGAAGCTTCTCCACGCTCAGCTCACTCAGTCACTCAGTCGTGACTAACTGTCTGTGACCCCAGGGACTGCAGCACACCAGGTCTCCCTGTCCATCACCAACTCCCAGAATTTACTCAAACTCATGTCTATGAGTCAGTGATGCCGTCCAACCATCTCATGCTCTGTCGTCCCCTTCTCCTCCTGCCTTCAGTCTTTCCCAGCATCAGGGTCTTTTCCAATGAGTCGCATCAGGTGGCCAAAGTATTAGAGCTTCAGCTTCAGCATCAGTCCTTCCAATGAATATTCAGGACTGATTTCCTTTAGGATGGACTGGTTGGATCCCCTTGCAGTCCAAGGGACTCTCAAGTGTCTTCTCCAACACCACAGCAACAAGAAACTCAACCTGCGGAGGTGTCAGAGCCCCGCGAGGGGTGCCTGAGGAGTGTTCACTCGTGTTCTGATGATAATTATTGTCGGTATGTGACGCAATGCTGAGGCTGAAAGGACACGCTTGTTGGGAGAACACACGGCTAAACACACCTAGACCTGCGGGGCCGGGGACGCCCGTGTCTCTTCACTCCTCCCAAACCACTTGGGAGCCAGCGCCCTTGCTGGAGCGGCTGCTGAAGCCAGCGGTCAGCTCTCTGTCCACCGAGCCCTGGACCTTTCACCGTCTGAGGACGCAGCTCATCACCCCGAGGCCCTCTTCTCTTGGCCTCCCAGGACCCCAGCTGTGGTCTCCTCCCTGCTGACCCTCTGGTTCTCCCCTCAGATCACACCGCTCCTTGGGGCTGTCTGCACTTCCGGCCTCGGGGTTTGATACCTCCTGTGGTCAGGGACCCGCCAGCGTGCGTGTCCACGTTAGACACTGCCCCAGCTCCAGACGCACACCCACCACCACCCCACTGACTCCCCGGGGCCCCTGGGGCGCCTCAGACCCCAGCCCGCCACAAGCCTGGTGGTCCCACCCGGCTGATGGCCGTCCGTGGACTTGCTCCAGCCACATGAGGTCTGTTTTGTAAGAGCTGAAGGGTCTGTGGGTGGTGGACCCAGCACCCTGGCCAGTTGGGACATAGAAGGCAGAGCCCGCTCTGTGCAGTTCCGGATGGGGAAGGTTATAAACAACACGGGTTTATCTCCCACCGTCTGGAGGCTGGACGAGGAGATGCACCTGGTCCAGCCCGGTCTGGTCACAGGCGGGGAAAATGAGGCCCAGGGGGACCAGCAGGGCCGGGGTCCGGCCTCCTCCTGGCCCGTAGGCAGCTGCCACCGTGCTGCATGCTCACATGGAGCCTTTGTGCGTCTCAGGAAGGGGGGTTGCGAGCGAGGGAGAAGGCTGGCACCTCTTCCTTCAAGGGCACAGAGCCCAGTGTGGGGCAGGCGGGCACAGCCGAGGTCTTGGGACCTGACCTTGGCAAGGCCACTGGCAGACTGAGGCGGGGCCCCAGGCTCTCTGGGGAGGATGAAGGTGGGGCTGGAGTTTGGGGTGCTGGAGTCTGCTGGAGTTTGGGGTGCCGGTCTGCCCCATTTCATCAGCTGCTTCCCCAAATCCACACTCACTCTGCTTTCTCTGACCCCTTTGAGCCTGGCTCCATGTCAGGCGAGCAGGACGCGGCAAACCAGGCTCCCGGACGCCCCGTGGAGCCCTGGTCTCTCGGGGGCCCCGGGACTAAGCAGAGTGAAGCAAGTAAATGGGCGTGCAAGCTGGGTTTGCTCTGAAGCCTGCTGCGCTCCGCCTGGACGGGCCCCTCAGGGCCTGGCCCTCCCCAGGGCCCTCAGCCCTCGGTCGTGAGGAAGCCGCTGCGGTCTCTCCAGCCTCGTCCTTGCCGCCCCCCTTGCGGCCCCGGCCCCCTTCCCCACCCATTCTTCTCATCGCTGCAGGTCCCGGGCCCGCTAAGGGGTGCCCCCGGCTGTCCCCGCCAGCCCCCCGCCCTCCAGACAGCGAGGCCTCACTCAGCGTCCACCCCCGGCTTCCCTCCCCACTCCTCGGGTTCCCTGGACACCACGAACAACGACACACGAAGTCCCAGTGTGCCCCGGCCGGTAACCCAGCTTTCCTGCTTCCGGTCCGCACAGCCTGACTCCCCGTGTGACCGGTACGCCCCGCACAAGCGTCCTCCGAGCTTCCTGGGGCTGTTGTGACAAACCATCGCTCGCCTGGGGGCTGGAAGCAACATGTGCCTAATCTCTCATGACCAGGAGGCCCGGAGGCCCGGAGTCAGCGGTCAGCTGGTTCCTCCTCTCTCTCCTCCAGGGAAGAATTGCCCCTGCCTTTTCCAGCTTCTAGAGGCATCGCGTTCTTTGGCTTGTGGTCCCTCCTCCCTCTTCAAAGCCAGCTGGGCTTTGTCCGGCTCTCTGTCCCCCGTCTCCTCCGCGTCTGACCCTCCTCCCGCCCTCTTACGAGGGCCCCGAGATGACCCTGGACTCCCCTGGAGAATCTAGGGCCTTACCTCCATCACGCCCACGAAGTCCTCCTTCACCACGCGCAGTGACCTGTTCACAGAGTCCTGGGACTGGGACCTGGGCGTTGCTGGGGACCGTTGTTCACCCGACCACAGACCCCGGAAGTCGTTTGCTGGTCTGTGTTGTTGTCACTCTCACCACGGCTTTAGTGAGAAAGAGAGCCCTGCAGCTGACGTGACATCCACCCAGGGTCCTCGGTGAAGCCCTATGTGTGCAAGTTCTGGGTTGAAAGGAATAAAAAATTCTCGGCTTTTAAAACATACTTTGCCGGTTTCTTTCCTGAAAGGCTGTGGCGCTTACACTTCCTTTGCTGTCACCGCACTTGGGATTCTCATGTGTCTAAGTCCATCCAGGCCATGGTGATGACAGTAAACACCGCTGACTGCAGGGACAAGATGCTGCTGAGCGCAGGGACAAGACGCCGCTAAGTGCAGGGACAAGATGCAGTTGACCGCAGGGACAAGGCACCGCTGACTTCAGGCCTTGGCAACAACACACATTTGTTACTTATGGTTCGGGAAGCTGGACATCCAAGCTGAGGGTGCAGGCATGATGGTGACAGATAGCAGGTGGATCCCTGAGTCCTTGCAGGTGGAAGGGGCCAGGGAGCACCCTAGGGTCTATTATTTTGATTGAAGCATAGTTGATTTATGATGTTGTGTTCATTTCAGGTGTACCTCAGAGTGATTCAGATTCTTTCCCTTTATAGGTTACTATCAGATATAGAGGAGCTTACCCCTCATCGAAGGTCAGGGGCGGCAGCAGAGAGCCCTGGGCTGGAGGAAGCACAAGCTGGAATTAAGATTGCCGGGAGAAACATAAATAACCTCAGATGTGCAGATGACACCACCCTTATGGCAGAAAGTGAAGAGGAACTAAAGAGCCTCTTGATAAAAGTGAAAGAGGAGAGTGAAAAAGTTGGCTTAAAGCTCAATATTCAGAAAAATAAGATCATGGCATCCAGTCCCATCACTTCATGGCAAATAGATGGGAAACAGCAGAAACAGGGGCTGACTTTAGTTTTTTGGGCTCCAAAATCACTGCAGATGGTGATTGCAGCCATGAAATTAAAAGACGCTTACTCCTTGGAAGGAAAGTTATGACCAACCTAGACAGCATATTAAAAAGCAGAGACATTACTTTGCCAGCAAAGGTCCGTCTAGTCAAGGCTATGGTTTTTCCAGTGGTCATGTATGGATGTGAGAGTTGGACTATAAAGATAGCTGAGCACTGAAGAATTGATGCTTTTGAACTGTGGTGTTGGAGGAGACTCTTGAGAGTCCCTTGGACTGCAAGGAGATCCAACCAGTACATCCTAAAGGGATCAGTCCTGGATGTTCATTGGAAGGACTGATGCTGAAGCTGAAACTCCAGTACTTTGGCCACCTTATGTGAAGAGTTGACTCATTGGAAAAGGCCCTGATGCTGGGAGGGACTGAGGACAGGAGGAGAAGGGGACGACAGAGGATGAGATGGTTGGATGGCATCACCGACTCGATGGACATGGGTTTGGGTGGACTCCGGGAGTTGGTGATGGACAGGGAGGCCTGGTGTGCTGCGGTTCATGGGGTCGCAAAGTATCGGACACGACTGAGCAACTGAACTGAACTGATTAGATATTAGGGCTTCCCTGGGGGCTCAGACAGGAAAGAATCTGCCCGCAATGCGGGAGACCTGGGTTTGATCCCTGGGTCGGGAAGATCCCCTGGAGGAGGAAATGGCAACCCACCCCAGTATTCTTGCCTGGAGAATCCCATGGACAGAGGAGCCTGGCGGGCTGCAGTCCGTGGGGTCACAAAGGGTCAGAAACGATTTAGTGAGTTGCGCCTGCATGTGCGCGTGCACACACACACACACACACACACTAGATATTGAATACGGTCCCCTGTGCTATACGGTAGGTCCTTGTTTATTTGTTTTATGTATAGTGGCATGTATCTTTTTTTACCTTAGATGGTATTTATTTGATTCGTTTTTAAAATACACTTCTTCAGGGCTCAAAGTCAGCTTTGAATTCTCTGTCGCACTGGTTTCTGGTTTCCGATTGCGGGAGCGTCACTTGAGAAAGGCAGACAGGCTGCACTGTGTGAGTCTTTTAATCCCAAACAGCTTGTGTATTTCCCGCCCTTTCCTCTTTTGCTTTGTGAGTTTGTTTTCTATTTCTGTGAATCTTTTTCTGTTTTGTAAATAAGTCATTTGCATACATTATTTTAGACTTCCCATATTAACAGCATATGATGCTCGTTTTTCTCTGACTTATTTCACTCAGTGTGATCATTTCTAGGCCCATTCATGTTGCTGCAAATGGCTTTATTTCATCCCTTTAAATGGCTGAGTAATATTCTTCTGTGTAAGCATACTGAATCTTCTTTATCCGTTCCTCTGTTGATGGACATCTAGGTTGCTTCTGTGTCTTGGCTAATTAGTGAATAATGCTGTTTTGAACATAGGGGTACATGTATCTTTTCCAATATAGTTTTCTGTGAATATATGCCCAGGAATGGGATTGCTGGATCATATGGTAGCTCTATTTTTAGTTTTTTAAAGGACCTCCATACTGTTTTCCATCATGACTGCACCAATTTACATTCTCATCAACACTGTAGGAGGGTTTCCTTTTCTCCACACCCTCCCCAGCATTTACTGTTGGTAGAGATTTTAATGATGGCCTTTCTAACCTGTTTGATGTAGTATCTCATTTTAGTTTTGATGTGAATTTCTCATCCCATTGGATCATTAAAAAAGCAAGAGAGTTCCAAAGAAACATCTACTTCTGCTTCATTGACTATGCCAAAGCCTTTGACTGCGTGGATCACAACAAACTGCGGAAAATCCTGAAAGAGATGGGAATACCAGGCCACCTGACCTGCCTCCTGCGAAATCTGTATGCAGGTCAAGAAGTAACAGAGCAGGACGTGGAACAACAGACTGGTTCTAAATTGGTAAAGGAGTACGTCAAGGCTGTGTATTGTCTCCCTGCTTATTTAACTTATATGCAGAGTACATCATGAGAAATGCTGGGCTTGATGAAGCACAAGCTGAAATCAAGATTGCTGGGATAAATATCAAAAACCTCAGATATGCAGATGACACCACCCTTATGGCAGAAAGTGAAGAACTAAAGAGCCTCTTGATGAAAGTGAAAGAGGAGAGTGAAAAAGTTGGCTGAAAACTCAACATTCAGAAAACTAAGATCATGACATCTGGTCCCATCACTTCATGGCAAATAGATGGGGAAACAGTGGAAACAGGGGCTGACTTTATTTTTTTGGGCTCCAAAATCACTGCAGATGGTGATTGTAGCCATGAAATTAAAAGGCGCTTGCTCTCTGGAAGAAAAGTTATGACCAACCTAGACAGTTTATTAAAAAGTAGAGACATTACTTTGCCAACAAAGGTCCGTCTAGTCAAAGCTATGGTTTTTCCAGTGGTCATGTATGGATGTGAGAGCTGGACTGTGAAGCACCGAAAACTTGTTGCTTTTGAACTGTGGTGTTGGAGAAGACTCTTGAGAGTCCCTTGGACTGCAGGGAGATCCAACCAGTCCATCCTAAAGGAAATCAGTCCTGAATATTCATTGGAAGGACTGATGCTGAAGCTGAAACTCCAATATTTTGGTCACCTGATGTGAAGAACTGACTCATTTTAAAGGACCCTGATGGTGGGAAAGATTGAAGGCGGGAGGAGAAGGGGACGACAGAGGATGAGATGGTTGGATGGCATCACCGACTTGATGGAGATGAGTTTGAGTAAACTCCGGGAGTTGGTGATGGACAGGGAGGCCTGGTGTGCTGCGGTCCATGGGGTCGCAAAGAGTCCGACACGACTGAGCAACTGAACTGAACTGAACTGAATCATTAGTGATGTTGAGAATCTTTTCATGTGTGTTTTGGCCATTGGTACGTTTTCTTTGGAGAAATGTCGACCTAAGTCCTTTGCCCATTTATGACTGGGTTGTTTGTTTGGGTTGTTTTTTTTTTTTAAATATTGAACTGTGAGCTATTTATATAACTCAGAAATTGAACCTTTATTGGTCATATCATTTCCAAATATTTTCTCCCATTCTGTAGATTGTCTTTTTGCTTTGTCTATGGTTTCCTTTGCTGTGCAAAAGTTTTAAAGTTTGAGTATATCCCATTTGTTCATGTTTTGCTTTTGTTTCTTTTGCCTTGGGAGACGGACATAAGGAAACATTGGTACAACTTACGTCAAAGAGTGTTTTCCTTTCGTTCCCTTCCAGGAGTTTTATGGTTTCATGTCTTATAGTTAAGTCTTCAGTTAAACTCTGAGTTTATTTTTACTTGTGGTGAAAGGGAGTGTTCCAAGTTCACTGATTTACGGGTCTGGGGTCTCTTTTCTAAGAGCCCTGATCCCTTTCTTGGGGCTCCACCCTCATGACCCAATCACCTCCCAAAGGCCCTCCTCCTAACGCCGTCACTGGAGGGTGGGATTTCAGCAGATGGGTTTTGGGGGACACAGACCCTGGCATGGAGTGTTGCATTGGTCACTCTGCAGTCACATGGGTGGAGAGTAAGACCCTGTGTCCGTCACGTGGGTTACTCTGCCCAGCCCACCCACTGACTTTGTCACCAAGGATCCTGCCCTGGAATCAGACTTGGGTCCCCCACGCCTGATTCTGATTCACGCCTTAACTTCATCTGCTAAATGGAGACCGCGACATCATGAATGGGTGCGGAATGAAACCCGGGGATACTGTGGCTCGGCGGATTGTGGAAGCTGTCCTGTGTGGGCCACGGGGGCCACTCGCACCCCCCCTGGTGCTGGGTGAAGGGCAGGGTGTGGACAGAAGCAAGGTCCTGGTGTGGGCCGTGGGCAGCAGCGAGCTCTGCTCGTGGAGACCCCACCCCCTCGGGTCCGGAGATGCAGTCAGACCAGCCGGCATCTCCACCACGGAGATCAGGTGACTCACTCTGTGCAAGTTATTTTTAAGTGACTGGAATACTAGCGAGGAAGCCGCCTGACAGCAGTGCTAATTACTGCCCCCCACGCGGAGGGAGCAGGCCTGCGGGCTACAGGCAGACGCTGAGCCCCCACCCCCGGCAGCTCTGCAGAGGGGCAGACCCTCAGGCCTGGGCACAGCCGAGAGTCAGGGCAGGCAACCCTTCCTCCTGGACAGCCATCCTCACCCCAGTCACCTCAGGAGACTGTCTATGAGTCCCCCCCATCCCAGCCAGCACCCAGATCTCACTCCACCTGCCGACTCAGCCTTGTGGGCCCGTGGCTAAGAGTGGGGCCCTGGCCTGCACCCCAGTCTCAGGCTAGCACTCCCCCAGCCCCATGCTGCACCCTGACCCCCAGGCCCGTGCAGGCCCAGCGGTCTGTAGCTCGCTGTCCCATCTTGTCTAAGTCTGGTCTCTAATGCCCATTTGCAAACAAACCGCTCCCCTCGCCAGTGCTCAAACGGCCTCCTCAGAGGACACCACTGCTTACGGAAAAGCTTGACAAGCAGGAGACAGGAGGACAGCACCTTTATTCTCTCACCCCTCCACTCGTGGGAGCATGCACACACATGCATACACATACATGCACGAGCACATGTGTGAAAGCACACACATGTGTGCACACATGCACGGCAGCGCATGCGTGCATGCATAAACATGAGCACACACATGCACACGTGCACACATACATGCACATGTGCATGCTTGCATGCACCCATAGTGCATGCGCGTGCATACATGCACAAGCAGACACATGCAGGCACATGTGTGCATGAATATATGCATGAGCGCACGCATACATGCACAGGTGTGTGCATGTATGCACAGCACACATGTGTGCGTGCATGCATGTGCGAGCATATGTGTGCACACCTGTGTGTATACACACACAAGTGCACCCATGCATGTACACAGATGTGTATGCATCCGTGCATGAACACACACATGCAGGACACACACATGTGTATGCATACGTGCACAAGTGCGCACATGCAGGCACATGAGTGTGCACGTCTGTGTATGAGTGCATGCGTGCAGGCACACACATGTGCACAGCCACTCACTGGCATGCCTTCCTCCCCAGCTGACGCGCTCCCTGGCAAGTTTCGGGCGATGCTGGCTCTTCCCATGGTGCTCAGCTCGAGTCCAGACAGGCCTGAGAGGGGAACTGCAGGCCTGGCTCTGTTCAAAGGTCTCCCTCTCCCCGGGCTGGCCCGCAGGGTCCCCAGACGCACCGGGAGGGGGTAGGTCGGCAGCTCTGTCCTCCGCTCGGCCCTGGCGCGTCCTTAGGGAGCTCGGTGCAGGCAGGGGAGGGGGAGGCCCGGCCTGGGGGAGGGGTCCCGAGGTGACACTGGGAGCTGGCTCCTCCCCAGCTTGCCTGTGGGGCCCCGGCTCCCCTCAGCACCCACTCTTGCTGGTCTGGCCTCAGCAGGCTCAGCCTTGCCCTCCCACACGTCCCCTCAGAGGGGACCCTCTTAGAGGACCCTGTCTGGCCGGTTCCGTGGGGTCCCTGCATGCGGGTTCTGCCTAGCTGGTTCCATCAGCTCGTCTCTGGGTTGACTGATGTCCCCCTCCTCCTTGGGGGGCTTTCCTACCTGGCTTCCATCGGGGCACTCTGCGCCCCTCCCCACCCCTGCTTCCCCTGACTCTGTTCTGGGCGGCTTGCCCCTCCCCTCCAGTCCTCTCCACGTCGGGGCTCCCAGGCTCTCACCCTGGTGCCCCACATCCCACGGTGGCCTCTCTCAGGCCCAGGGCTGTGCAGTCCGTTGTGAACTGTGTGTCCAGCCTGGCTCCCCCTCCTGGACCCCTGAAGCCTGTAACCAGCCCTCTCAGCAGCATCTCCCCCGGGGGCTCCGGCTTCTGAGCCGGACAGGCCCCCGGGCCACCACCTCTCCTCCCCACTGTTGCTCCGCCTCTTCCCGTCGCGTGCGGGGGCTGCATTCTGCCAGCCCTGGGTGGATGCCAGCTCTGTCTTCTGCCCCTGTGTCTGGACAGAGGCAACCTGCCAGCTGCCTCTCTGCTCCCCGTGGTCCCTCCAGCCTGGACGGCTGGATCAGCCCCTTGCTGCTCTCTCTTGGCTCCACAGTCCCTTCCGACAGAGCCTCCGGAAGGATCCTGGAAAATTCTCACCAGATCCTGCCACATCTGCACCAAGGCCCCCCCAGCATGCCCGCCCCCCAGTTAGTCCTTCCTGTGTCCTCCAGGACTGGACCACACATGCCCCACCCCCTCTGAGCACCTCACTTCCTGGGGCCTCTCCCCTCTCACGCTGGCCCTGCACACAGCACTTGGCAACTCTGCCCCCTGCCAGGCCCACACCTGCCTCAGGACCTTTGCACAAGCTGTGCCCTCTGTCTGTGATGCTCCTCCCCGAGATCCCGCCCCGTTCCCTCACTTGCCCCAGGTTTTACCCAAACACTCCCTTTAAGATGAAGAATCCGAAATTTTGACAGTCACCCCTGCATCTTCTCACTTTCTCTTACTTGCCTTTCCTGCAGCACTTACCAGGATGTAATTCACCATCTATGTCATCAGTCTTGTTCGTATCTGCTTCACTTAGAATAAAAGTGCTACTCGGGCAGGAATTTGCGTGATGGCTGATGGATCCCAGCACCTCCGCCCCTCTGCCCAGTATAGGGCCTGGCATTGGGCAGATGCACATTATCTACTGAATGACTGAACGAGCAAATGAATTAGTGGATGTGTCCTAACCCTCCCAGTAGAAGTCTGACTTCCTGGTCAGGCCATGCATAGAGGGCCTGGCCATCACCCCAGTGAGCCCAGCCTTCCAGTCATCCCAGCCAACGAGCCAGACCCAAGTGCCACCATCTTGGACCTTCCAGCCCAGACCACCCCACAGGCGAGGGCCACTGAGTGACCTCAGAAAGGCCACTGGCAGAGCCCCGTCGGTGTTCCTGACCCACAGAGCCGTGAGATAGAATTAAATGACTCTTGCTTGGCACAAGCAAATCTCAGCAGTAGGAGCTGGGACACGGGTGATGGGCTGATGCAGCAGAACCAGCTTCATCCCACGCTCCCCAGGACTGCACAGATGGCCCCTCCTGTCTCAGGGTGGAATCTGGTGCCGAATGTTTTGCTGTCAGCTTTTGGGTTCCTGGCTGGAGCAGTGAGAAGACAGGGACGCTGCCCTCAGCACCCAGTTCCTGAGCCCGCGTCCAGGGCCGTGACGATCACCGTGCCATTCATCACACGATGACTGCTGGCCAGATACTGGCTCAAGGGCTTTGTAAACACTTCCTTGTTTGAAAATAGCAACAACAAGGGCAAATGTTTCAGGAGTGGCGGCCTTGTGCGGGACGCTACTGTCAGCCTCTGTCACACCAGCCCCATTTTACGGGTGGGGGACCGGAGACGGGAGAGGCCGAGCCCGCTGTCCCCTCAGAAGCTGTCTGCAGCTAAACCAACGTCTGAAGGCGGAGACCACAGTCCTCCCACATTCCTGGCTGACCCACGGGTCTGGGGAAAAACCCGACTAAATCACAAAAGGGTTTGGTTTGACGGAACATAAAAGCCGTGGGACTCCTGACTGGCTGCCTTGGATCAATCCCGGCCCCTCTGTATCTTTCCCGGCCTGTTGTAACAAAGTACAACAAACGAGGGGCTTAAGACAGCTGAAGTGGGTCCTCTCGCAGCTCTGGGGGCCAGATGTCTGAAACCCAGCCGTCCGCAGGGCCAGGCTGCCTCTGGGGTCCCCCAGGAAGACCACACCCGTGCGTGTCCTGGCTTCCGTCAGCTGCAGAAATGCTTGCATTCCTTGGCTCGTGGCCGCCTCACTTGGTTTCTGCCCCTATGTGTGTCTCCTCTCTTCCTATAGGTACATCAGTTGTGTGAGATTAGTGTTGTTGTCATGTCTGACTCTTTGTGACCCCATGGACTGCAGCACCCCAGGCTTCCCTGTCTTTCACTATCTCCTGGAGCTTGCTCAAACTCATGCCCATTGAGTTGGTGCTGCCATCCAATCATCTCACACTCCATCACACCCTTCTCCTCCTGCCTTCAATCTTTACCAGCATCAGGGTCTTTTCCAATGAGTTGGCCAAAGGATTGTAGCTTTTGCTTCATCAGTCCTTCCAGTGAATGTTCAGAGTTGATTGGCATTACGGGATTAGGACTGACTTCAGCATAATTAATTACGTCTGCAAAGACCCTATTTCCAGGTGAGGTTTCATTCGGAGGTTCCAAGTAGATGTGAATTTGGGGGGACATGTTCACCCCAGTACATCCTTCCGGAGCCCACAGTCCCTTACCTGTCCAGGCCCCCTTTTTCTGATCGGAATGTTCTTGGTGGGGGAGGGTCCACAGGGCCTGTGTACAACCCTGTCCCAGCCCTGCCCTACACACCTGCCTCCCATGCACATGAGAGCTGATGGGAGACGGCAGGTTCACGTCAGGGGCTGGGGTGGCGGGCCGCTCGCCTCACTGTTACATACCTGTCTGCACACAGTAAACGAGCCCCCAGCAGGGGGCGTCCAGGGAAGCCTGGGGGGCTGAGCCCACGCTGTGTGGTCTGGCCTTGGCCTCCCCGAACCTCTGCACTCCGGAAAGTTTGGTCGTGATGCCAGAGCCCTGGAGGCAGGCTCAGCGATGTGTCCACTCCCCCTTGGCAGCTTGGGGGGCCCGGACCGGGGTCGGCCAAGGCTACCCAGAGCTTGGCTTGGCCGCAGGGCCGAAGTCGAGACGGCAGTGCACCCGGGCAACCCAGGCCCAGGGGCAGGCCGGCGTCTGTGCATCGTCCGTGTTCAGCTCTAGGAAGACGGTGTGAGCTGGGCCTCCGGGCAGAGGGCCACCAGCAGGGGAGCTGGCTGTGGGCCCAGCCTCACTCCACGGGAAGGCTGCCCTGCTGACCCCGGCGGGCTGCTCGGGAAGGCGGTCAGGCTGGGCGCCAGGCGCTGCTGCCTGGGTTTCAGGGAGCAGAGCGCCGGGTCTCGCAGCCAACGGCCCCGGGATTCCTGCAGGAGGACGGACCCCTGTCCCGGGCCGGGCGCCGCGGACTCCCCAAGGGCAGTTCGGGGAGGAGGCCGGGGGAGGGGGCTCAGGGTCACTCGCTGCCCACCCCCGTCAGGCCCTCCCCGCGGCCCTGGGGCCCTGCACGCCTGGCAGCAGATCCATGGTCCACCCGAGGTGAGGGGGCACTCAAGGGGGCAGTGAGAGAGCGCACTTGGAAGACCCCAGAGAAGACCACCCAGGGCCTGCTCCCCCCACCCCCGTGTACCCCGTGGACTTGTGACACAGGCGTCCCCTGGGGGTGTGTTAGAAACACAGACACTCGGGCACCCCAGACCCCTGAAGGGGACGCCGCAGTCAACGAGATACCCCGGGGACTCTGTAGCTGCCGGTGCGGGTCTGAGCCACCCGGCTCCCCAAGGACCCAGCTCACCCCGACTCGGAGAGCCTGTCCAAGCTCGACAGTCCAGCCGCCGCTGTCCGTTCGGGGCCAGGAGCCTGGCTTTGGAAAGCCCTTCATATCCACAGCCAAAAGTGCTCCGAGGACCGCTTGGACAGGTGGCTGCCTGAGCCCTTCTTGAATGCCTGGAGTGACGGGGAGCTCACTGCCGTGTGAGAAGCTGGGTCGGCCGTGCCAGGGGCTCAGAGGCGATCCCCGCGGGGCTGCACTTGGGGTTTGGACTGCCTCACCTCCCTCAGACTCAGTTTCCCCATCAGTGCCAGGCACGAAACAGGTCCCCTCTCTCCCCGCATCGTGAGGTCATTTGTGCTTTGGGGATGGCAACGGGCCGACCAGCCAAAGCACGCTGTGGGGCAGCTCTCTGGCATCGCAGAGACGACCTGTCGCTCCCATCCAGTGTGGTCAGTGGGGACACCGTGGGAATGACCAGGATCAGAGGGCAGCCTCTATGAGGCTCAGAGGCGCTCAGGGCCACTTACTAAAATGCAAACTCCAGGGCCCTGCTCCCCAAGCCCTGATCCAGGAGATCCAGACAACCTGGATGCAGGAGATGGAAGGGCCACACTCTGGGGAGTCGGGGCTACCAGGACCTTCCAGGGGTGGAGTGTCAGCCCCAGCCGGCCCTGAGGCCAGAAGGCCCTCTGCCCGGGGAGAGAAGCCTGGGTGCTGAGCTGTGACTGCTCGTGCCTCTGTGAAAACCGCATGTCCACACGCACGTCTGCAGTGTGCCTGCAGCCCACCGGGCGTGCACACGTACACACATGTGGTCTGCACGCACATCGCAGCACACCCACGTACCCAGAGCACTGACGCAGGCATGGGCACTTGCCCACGGGACACACACACATACACACACCCCGCGTGTCCTGTCAACCCCCAGCCTGCTTTGCGCTGATACAAGACCCTCCATCACATCTTCTCCTAGCCCCTGGGCTGTGTCTGCAAAGACAGGGTGAATCCCTCATCACAGCTGACCCGGCAGGTGGGCACCGCTTGCCGGTTCCGTGCCAGGCCCTGCAATGAGCCCTGTGGAGGAGCTGCCTGGAGACCAGCGAGCTCATGTCTACTGGGCAGTCAGAGAGGTGAGCAGGCAGGGGTCACCCGGGGCCATCTGGATTGGTCCAGGGCAGCCCGGGTGAACAGACAGTGTGTGGGTGCTTGAGGGCGCAGGGGGAGGCTGGGGGGAGGCTGGGGGGAGGCTGGGGGAGCTGAGGCCCCTGCCGGGCACAGGTGGGGTGGAGGTGCGCTGGGGACCAGGTGAGTCCAGCCCGGGGCGTGGGAGGAGCAGGCGCACGTGAGGACGGGTAGGCGATTATTCCAGGGGCCCGGGGCGGGGAGCGTGGCCAGGAGGGCCCTGGGGTGGGAGCCCTGCTCCCCACCACCAGCTGCACTGTGTCACCTCCTTTTTGCAGACGCCCCGCCCTTGCCTCCTTTGTCCCTTTAATCCCTCCGGTGGGGCCTGAGAAGAGACGGGCTAATTAGGTTTTCTGCTCAGTGAAGGTCAGAGGCATCTCCCCCTCCCTTCTCCCCTCAGGCTCTGCCCCCAGCCCATCTTCCTCTCCTCCCAGAGACAGGGAGGCCCCTCCGGTCCCGATCCTCTCAGAGAGATGACAGGCCACCTGGCGGGACACCCCGTAAGCACAGCGGCCTGCCGCTCCAGGCGGAGATGGAGTGTGTGGCCACAGGTCAGCAGAGCGTGGTCCACCTGCCCACCCGCTCCCTCCCGACTCCCGCCCGTCGGTCAACGGCAGGCACCCCGTGTCCATCCCGACCGTGCCCGGCCCCACGGCTCTCACGAGGACTCTGAGCTGGCCCTTCCCTCAGGGACCGAGAGACAAGCCAGCAGGCTGACGGGGACGTGTCCCTGCCCTGAGTGGAGGCCCCGGTGCCTGCAGAAGCCCCGGGGAGGACTGTCACTTCTGTGGGATTCCCCAGAAGCAGGTGATGCTCCCAGGGGTTTGACAAACGAACAGGTGTTCTCTGGGGAGTGGAGGAGGGAAGGGAGACAAAGGATGGTCCGGGGGAGGGACTCGGGGGGAGGCTTGCTGGGGAGGCTCGGACTGTAGATGCACAAACCTCGGCCCTTGGAAAGAAAGGCAGAAACAGGCAACTGGCTGGAGGGGTGTCAAAGGGAGACAGTACAATCCGGGCAGGCTTCCAGGAGGCGGCAGCATGGGAGCCCTGGTGCGATAGGAGGTACAGCCTGGAGAGCTCACACAGCAGGTGGGCCTGGAAGCCCTTTGGGAGCCGGGTCAGGCCCTGAGGACAGAGGCCCTGGGAATCCAGAGGGCTCCCCGTCTCTCCAGGGCTCCCAGCCTCAGTGCCAGTGGCGCTGCCCACAGCACCTGGCGCACCATCTCCTGCTAGGAGGGGCTCTTGGGCTGGGATTCCCGGAAGCAGATCCCGAGACAAGGGTCCCGGGTAAGCAGCTTGTCTGCGGTGAGATCCCAGGAGGGAAGTGGGGACTGAGGCGAGGAGGGGGCCGGCCCCTCCAGGCAAATGCTGTGAGCAGAACCCTGCTTGTCAAGGGGTCCCTACCCCTCTGGGGGCCCTGAGCCCAGAGCATGTGGCTCGGGGGTGCTGGGAGCCGTCCTGGGGGGCGCCTCAGGCATTGCAAGACAGGTGGGCAGGGAGGGCCGGGCCAGGCTCAGGGTTACCTGGCACAAAGGCAGAGGGGCAGCAGGAGGCAGGTCCTAGCTCCACCCAGCGCCCAGAAAGGCTGGCTGGGGGCACCTTCTGCCGCAAAACCCTAAGCCCATTGGCATCAGTCCTGGGGAGGCGGGTGGGTGGGGCCCGTGTCCATCACAGTGCCTTGGATGGCTCTTGTGGCCCCCGAGATCCTGACTCTGATGGGCAGGCAGTCTCCTACCGGGGCCTTTCCAGACAGACATCGCTGCCCCCACTTCCCACTGCCCCCCCCCAACTTCAGCTGTACCCGGACCCTGGGCACTCTCCCACCGCGGGGCCTCTGCGCGGCCTCTGCCCTCTGCCTGCACACGCCTCCCGCCTCCCGGCCCCAGAACCTCTGTTTCAGCCTAACAATCTGGTCACCCTCTTGGCTGAGGAACCCTCTCCCACCCTTGGTGTGTTGAAAGCGCAGCTGCCGGTGGATCCGTGTGAGCAGGTGTGGGCCAAAGGTGTGCCTGCTGCCCCCACCCCCATGGGGCTCGGACCCACCCACCATGGTGGCCGAGGGCCCGAGCGTGGCCAGCACTCCAGGAGACAGGCATTTTGCTCCTCTTCAACTCCGTGCAAATGCCACCTCCTCCAGGAAGCCTTCCCAGATCCCCCTCCATCTCTGTCGTCTGCATATCCCACACCATGGGGTCCTGAGGGTGGCCCTTGAGCGCCCCCAGGGCAGCCTGAGTCTGCAGGGGTAGGTGCTCAGGGGACCGGGCCTGATAGCAGAGACTATCGGTGAGGTGAGGAAGGTGTGCCTTGCACAGATGAGGGGTGGGCTCTGGGATATGGCCTGGCCTGGCAGGCCATGGTACAGGTCCGAAACATGAGAGCTAGTTGCTGAGTGCCAGGGGGGCCCTGGGGCCCGGGCGTGTCCTCCTAGTGGACTGACAGAGCCCCGGGAGCCCTGGAATGAAGGGCTCTGTAGAGGAGCGGCCGTTCCTGCTGCTCCTGGGTCTCCCGGTCCATGTGGGGACCTCTCCCCGCCCACCCACCGCCTCCCTGAGCTCCTCCAATCCACTCGTCCCTCGTGGATCTATCAGCAAAACTCCTTCCTCAGCTGCCTCCACAGCACGGCCCCCTCGCCGCCCACGGTCTCATCAGCCCCGCTGAGCCCAGGTGGGCACTGACTGTCCCCTCCCCAGGCTGGCTGGGCTCCTCTGCCCGCCCCTCCCCTGGGCCTTCTCCGGTCAAGAAATGCTCCGGCCTGGCCCGCCTGCTTAGCAGTCTCCACGGGCTCCCGCTGCCCCCTGTGGCCCCCCAGCTCCCGGACGGGAGGCTGGGCCTCTGACTCCAGAGCCCAGGAGCTGCTCAGTGCACGTCTCTGAGCCAAAGCCAGGAAGCTGGCAGTCAGTCGGCGGCCCCTGGCTCCCGCCATCCAAACCCTGCCTGACGCCCTCCAATAGGCAGGCTCAGGGAAGTTTAGAGATGGCATGCTGCCCCTCCGTGGGGGAAGGGGAGAAGGAGGGGGGGGATGGGGGAGGGGAGAGATGGGGAGAGTGGGGGAGAGTGGGCAAGGGGGGCAGTGAGGGATGGGGAGACTGGGGCAGGAGGAGGGCGAGAGGGAGGGGAGGAAGCCAAGTCAAGCGCTGATGACAGCTGGGCCCAGGGCCTCAGACCTGCCAGCAACGTCTGTGCTGCTCCCGCTCGCCCTGGGAACCGCCCCCCCGGACTCCTCGGTACCTGGACGATGGCACACGAGGCAGATGGCGGGGATGACATGGCATTTGAGTGCTTCCAAACTCAGTGCTAGGGAAACTCAGAAGCCAGGGACATGTGTTGTTGTTTTAGTGACACGGGACACCCACGAAGACCCCCACACACAGGGTGAGGGCCGACACCCAGAGCTCAAGACGTGGAGGGGTGTCGGCAGGAGTGGCGGGCGGGTGGACAGAGGCCTGGAGGGACCGCTGGGGCCTGGGAGGGCGCAGCTCGGCACGGGTGAGCACCAGCGTCCACACGGGGACAGAAGGGACTGTCTCCCAGGATCCCCTCTGGGACATCCCCCAAAACAGAGCACCCCCAAGGGACCCACCCACGGGACAGCTCCGGCCAAGCCTTCCACGTCCATCACACTGAAACGTACTCGGAAAAGTCAGAACTCACCCCACAGACGCAGAGGCACACGGTGCCCACCCTCAGGAAAGAACCGCAAATAGCGTTTAAAACACACCCAGGACCAGACTCACCTAGAATAAGCACAACCGACGGTGCTTTATGGCAATACCCGGGGAAAAGAAGAGGGGCTTAAAAAACACAGAAATAACAGAGGGAGGAAGCCGAGCTTCCGCATAGGAAGCAAGATCCCCCGAGGGTGGTGGGGCCGTCCAGAGCGTGGCTGCCGGAGCCCTGCCAGGAGGGACCCGGCCACGGGGCACCGCCCAGCACGGTCCCCGACTCTGCGGACCTTCGGTCGGGGCGGGAGCACGATGTCCCCGGTCTCAAGCCCAGCAGATGGCGAGTGAGGCTTCGGCCGACTCCTGACTGATCCCCCGGAGAACACATGCTGACCCCAGCACTCCCAGGACCCGGACCTGCAGAAGGAAGGGAACGGGAGGTCCCACCGCCCCACTGCCTGTCCCCGAAGCTCCTCCCCACGTGTCACTTCTCGGCCTGCATCAGTGTGATGGTGGCAGGGACATGAGCCCTGGAGCGGCCTCCAGGCCAAACCTGGCTCCCTGCTTGCTGGCTCTGTGACCTCAGGCAGGTAGCTCAACCTTTCTGAACCTCGTTTCTTGAGGCACAAATAAGGATGATACACCCTGAGAACAACACCTCGAATCTGCCCAGCCTTGACTCCAAACCCCCCCTGGGACTCGGAGCCCTGTAGGCGTGCTGCCCATTTAGTCCCCTCCGGGACCCATCTGGGCTGGCCTAGAGAGGGACAGTCCCCGGGAAGCTTTCCCTCCAGCCCACAGCGGGCAAGGAGGGCTCTTCGGGATTTGCAAAGAGACGCACGGGCGGAATGATCCTTCTCCGCCACACGCAGCCACCTGGGCGCCAGACCCCAGTCGGGGGCAGCCCCACGAGGGCCTCGCGGGGACGCCGAGGTGGCGGAGCAGACAGAGGACAAGCCCATTCTCGACGGTCTCCCTGAAGCCCCCCACCCGGGGTTTCTCTTACCTCACTTCACGAATGACTTCTTTATATATTTATGGAGGTATAGTTGGCTTCCCCAGTGACTCAGAATTAAAGAATCCGCTTGATAAGGCAGAAGCCACAGGAGAAGCAGGTTTGATCCCTGGGTAGATACCCTGGAAGAGAAAATGGCAACCCACTCCAGTATTCTTGCTGGGATAATCTCATGGACAGAGGAGCCCGGCAGGCTGCAGTCCATGGGGCCGCAGAGGCCGGCATTCCTGAGCGACTGGGCTCATGAGCACCACGGGGGTACTTTTGTGGGTGAAAATCCTCTTGCTGGATGGCTGAACCTGGAAACTAGCTATTTTACAAACAAACACTGAGGTGGTCTTTCAGATCGTTTTAATACAAGCTGCTTTTCCCGGAAAGCTTTTCCCGGAAAGCACCTATCATGTAAATTGGGGAAGAATAGAACGTGCTTATTTTAGCACTTTATAAGGAATCTCGCCCCATTCACCGAAAATTTAAACGTCACCAGCGTCCCCCTGCTACTGACCACAGTGAGTCCCAGATGCACTGTGGCCCCACCAGCGTCCACACACGGACACGCGGGTTGTTAAAGTGATAACCCTCTTTCCCCCATCTCTTCTGTGCCTTGTATTAGGGCATTACGTTGCCTTTCAAAATGTGTGCGCTGTGCTCAGCTGTGTCTGACTCTTTGCGGTCCCACGGACCATAGACCACCAGGCTCATCTGTCCATGGGATTCCCAGACAAGAATACTGGAGTGGGTTTCCACTTCCTCCTCCAGGGGATCTGCCCGACCCAGGGATCGAACCCAGGTCTCATGTGTCTCCTGCATTGGCAGGCGGGTTCTTTACCACTAGGACAATCTGGGAAGATATTTGTGTGCTAGGTTAAACTGC